TACACCTCTAGGGTGGATTTTGGGTCGTGACACATGTTCCTGCAGTTAGGAAAGTTGATTGAATTGATTTTCTAATCACTAATTAAAGAAACTACAAGCATCAATCGCTGGATAAGATCGGTTCAAAAAATAGTAAGCAATATCACTACCCACCATAAGAAAACCCTATTGAGATATTGCAGTTTATACTAACATTTTTGGAGAAGAGTAACACTCAATATGCATAGTTACTTCTGCAAAGAGCAGATTTTTCGATCAATTCCAAATCTACCTTGCTGCTCTAAAAAAGTAAATATGATATCTTTCCTTTCATGTAAATGACGGTATTAAATGTAGCATCGATATATGCCAATACTCACCGTCCAGGATTGACTCAAACATATTAGTGGCCCAAGGCAAAAATCAAACGGAGCTTTAAACTTGAATTGTTAATAACATTTATATAATTCATTTCTTCTAGTTTTCAATCGATAATATAACCATTCTTATTTTAAATTATTTTTAATGAGATATAGTACTCCAAATATGTCAAATTTCTTCAAATAATTCTTTTGAATTTCATAAAAAGTTTACTTTTTTTACAAATAGTATTTAATGTTTGTTAAAAATAGTAACTTATAACCTATTATTATTATTAAAAATGAGGCTCCTTAAATTTGGGGGCCTTAAGACACATGTTTTTTTGGGCAACTTTCACATATAGTAAACAAAAAATTCATATTTGTATGCTATAACAAAGTTTGCATAATTGCGCTCTATAGCAAACATAAAACTGTATAATTCGCTATACATATACAATTGTATAATTCACTAGTCTAAATTGTATAATTCGCTGGCCTATTTCGCTGCAATTGTATAATTTGTTTTGCATACAGTTGAATCGAACTAAAATGTATGTATATTGCATAATTATAAGTGTATAGCAAGAAGATATATATTTTTCTCGCTTTATACAAAAACAGAAACACAATATATACACTTCTGTTGTATAAAGCTAGAGAAAATTGTATTTCACTGCAATTGTATAATTCGCAATTGTATAATTCGTTGGTCTTTTTCTCTGCAATATTTGAAGTAAAATGTTTGTTAATTGTATAATTAAGTGTATAATATGAAGATATACATTTTTGCATGTGTATATATAATTTTCTCTCGCTTTATACAAAACAGAAATAGAATTATACACTTCTGTGTATAAAGCGAGAGAGGTGAGCGAGAATGGAGAGTGGCGAGCGAGATTTTTGGGAGAGAGACGCTGGCAAATTTTAGCTAATGTTTGCTATGGAGCACAATTAAATCAAACTCTAGCTATTTTATTTAATTTAGGTTATTAGTTTGCTATTATATACAATTTTTCCTATTTTTTTTAACACTGTCGAACCACCCCGCTCACGGAGGAAGTAAGCTGTACATAATCCATTTGGTTAATAAATTCAAGTTGTCTTCTTGGAATGTGAGTAAAACACGTTTAATTTTTAATTTATTAAAATACATGTTTCTTTTCTCTCTTTAAAAAAAGATATTTAGATTATATTAAAATTATATTCTAGTTATGGATCAACAACTATAAATATCGTAATTAAATTTTATATGAATCATAAATAATTAAAGAATTTACAAATAAAGATAAATTATTATTTTTTCTATTTTTATTTGTTTGTCTACTTTGACTTGATACGAAGTTTTAAAAAAAATAAATCTTATGACTTTAAATTAAAAATATATTAGGATTTCCTTTAATTTTGTTGTCTAAACATATTGTCAAAAGGTTAAAATCTTTAAAGAAAAAAGACTTAATTACTTGAGTGAATCCTTTTTAAAAAATAATTACTTATTTTAGCTATACTCTTTTATTATCATTTATATCAATATAAAATAATATTATATATTATTATAAGATTTTTCTCGCTCGCTCTTTCTCTTTTTTCTCTGCCTTTTTTTTCTTTTTGCTGCTCTTCCTCTTTTACTTTCTTTTTATTGTTTTTTTTCTTTTTTTCTCTGCCAATTTTTTTCTTTTTTGTTGCTCTTCTCCCTTACTTTCTTTTTATTTTTATTCTTTTCTGTTTTGCTTTCTTTTTGCTATGCACTCTCTGGTTGTTTTTTTCCCTTTAGTTTCTCTCTTTACTTTCTTTCGTAGAGTAGTCAATAATTCATAGAATGAATAAAATTTATATTAATAATTAATTACTTAAATAAATAATTTAATTGTAATAAATGAAGACACATAATAAATTGAAAAATGAATTAAACTTGAACTTAAAATGTATCACACACATATTAAAATTGAATTAAAAATATATTACACACAATGGTCTAGAATAAATTAAACTTGTATTAATAATGAATTAAATAATCCAATAGTAATAAAAAATAAAAAAAATTACAAAATCAATTAAATTGCTTTAAAATTGTATTACACAATATTAAAGTTAAATTAGAAGAGAATTTAAAATGAATGAAAGTAAATAACAAAAGACAAGACAACAATCTATAAATTGAATTAAACTCATATTATCCATGAGTAAAAATTATATCATATGTATCTTATAGATTATCTTTGCTTTTATCACAAAGATAATCAATTAATTTGACAAGTAATCTAATTGTAACAAATGAAGAAACATAATAAATTGTCAAATGAATTAAACTTGAATAAAAAAATTGTTACACATATCAAAGTTGAATGAGAAGCAAATTAAACATGAATGCAAAATTTAGCACGAAAGAGCATTATGTAATTTGTAAAAACTTGTATCAATAAGAATTAAAGACGTAATTCAATTATAACAAATCAACCAATAAAATGCAAAATGAATTAACTTGTATTAAAAGGCCATACACAAATATTAAATTAAAACTGAATTAAGCATAGATAAAAATTATAATCAATGAAAAATAAGACAATGATATATAGAGTGAATTAAACTTATATCAATAATGAATTAAACAAGTAATCTAATATAACAAATAATAAACTACAAAATGAATTAAATTTGCATTAAAAATGTATTACACAATATTAAAGTTGAATTAAAAGAGAAATAACAAATGAAAAATGTAACTAACGGAAAAGAAGATAATAATCTATAGATTGAACTAAACTTGTGTTGTTCATGAATAAATTATAAACTTAACCAAAATCAATTATAAACTTAACCAAAATCCTCTTAAAATTAGGATATAAACTCCAAACGACATTTCATTTATTTGTAGGAACAACCTATCCAAGTTTATTACAAATTCATAAAATTGAATCTTTATAATGACAATTGATGATTAACTCTTGTTTCTATAATTTTAAAATTCCTATTTGAGAACATCATATTGTACAATTTTCTGTTTTTTCTATTTCTTTTCTTGTTGTGTTTTTGAACAAAAATAGTGAAATATGGGAAAAAGTAATTTAAAATAATTATTTAAATGAAAATTAAAAAAAAAAGGAGGAAGAGAGATTGACACAGAGAAAAAAAAAAGAGGAAGAGAAAAAGCGCAGAGAAAGAGCAAATAAAGATTAACAGTACAACTTTTAATTCTTAAAAATTGTTATATTTAGTTAGAAAAATTATACTGACATAAATGATAAATATTTTTTTTAATATGATACATTTGTGTGATTTACCCAAAAAAAAAAACCCATTTCATAAGGAAAAGCCCAATAATGAATCAAATCAAATATTTAAAACAAAAAATAAGTTATAATATTTTTATTCTGAATATTTTATTTTAAAAATCTATTTAATTTATATTAGAAAAAAATTAGTAATCTTCATTTAGAATTAAAACATTTTAAATTATAAATTTTAAATTCTTAATAGACCTATAAAATGGCCCTAAATTAAACAATTCAAACTTACCTACTCTATCCTAACAATATTTTTACTACATTTAACTTAATAGATACAACATGTGCTAGCATCGGTTCAATATTTTAGTATTTTTTTAATTTTAATTTATGTGTTATACATAGAATTTAAAAGTTAAATAAATTTAATATGATTTTTTAAAATATATAAGTGGTCAATTATTTTTTGTTTGCGCAAATTTATTTTGAAGAGGTCCATCAGGATGTTCACGATTAAAATATTTTCCGTCGCAATTATAAATTTTTTACTCAAAGTAGTAAATAAATATTATCGATATTCAAAATAATAAAAACATAAGTAAGAGCGTGAATTTAAAACTAAAAGTTATAGCTAAAAAAGATTTTATAATTTCGAAAAAGATTATACACTAATTAAATTAAAGAAGAACAAAAGAAATAACTTTTTTTTTTAAAAATCGAAACACGCTGAAGGAGGCACGTCGATTTTAAAAGTCATAGCTAAAAATGATTTCATAATTACGAAAAAGTTATACACTAACTAAATTAAAATAGAACAAAAGAAATAAAATTTTATTTTTTTCCGGACACATCCTAAAAATCTGAGCTAAAAAGAATTCTATATTTTTCAAAAAAATTATAGACTAATTAAATTAAAGTAGAATAAAAGAAAGAAAATTTTGAATTTTTTTCCGAAACACATGCTGAAGCAGATAAGTCAATTCTAAAAGTCTTAGCTAAAAATAATTTTATTATTTCGAAAGATCATGTACTAATTAAATTAAAACAGAACAATTTTTTTTTTTGAAAAAAGACATTAAAATACACACGTCGATACAAACTTTAACATTAACGGTCTCTTATATAATAATAATAATGTCTCTTATATAATAATATATATATATATATATTATATTATGAGTAAAATTAAAAGAATTTATTACCTTCTCGAATCTGCACTAAAACTATATTCTAAATTACTTTTTTCCGTGTATTTGTGAAAAGTGTTCCTTTTGAAAGCTATAAAATGACACCGCCTATCTTCACACGCTACTTCTGATTACAAATTACGCTACTGACGCGCATTGTACAACTTCATACGCTACCGGCGCATAGCGGATTGCTGCTCTTAACTGTCACATTGACGATCCAAACCCTATGCAAGAATGGGAGGTAATGCTCTTGAAATTCTTGCCTGCGTATTTACATTGTAATTCTTGAATGCTTATTTAAGGAACTTGATGGTATGCGTGGGAGTTGCTGGGTTTTTGAGGGGTCTTGTGTAAGGTTCTTGAGGAGTTGGTTTTCAACAGCACCTCAAGGCTGGTGCGACCAAGGTGCACTAATTTACCCTTTCTAAATTTCAATGTTCTTTATGATTTTTACAAAGATGTGTAGTTGTTCTTGAAGGCCCCACTCGAACAACTCTAAAAAATAAAATTAAGTAGTTCAATAGTAAGAAATTGTGATTTGTATTATTTTAAATGAAGACACTTCTGTTAGTGTCTTAGACTTTGATTGTTTCTTAAAAATGGAAAAGTGTGCTACCTAAGAAATAGGGAATTATTTGGTTCATCTTTTTTTATTTTGTAAATGTTTTGAGGATCAGTAGAGGTGAGCTGCTGAGAACTTTTAAATGTTTAGACTAATTGCACCTGTGAATTTGTGTGTTGCTCGCACAAAAGGCATTGACCAGTGAGGCACTTCAACGAATTCTCATGTTCCTTTGTTTGCTGCTTCCTTATAGGGCTGTTCTTGTGTTTGTTGTTCTTATAAGTAGTGTACTCCTAGTTTGAACTTTAACCCAGTTTCCACTTTCCATTCTCCACCCGCTAGGTATCTGTTGCTATAGGCATTGGGACCTGCTATGTTAAGGTGGTATCAGTTCCTTCCCCACCCCTTACTAAACGACCCTTTTCATGATATTACTCATGCACTCCCTCTTTTGTTATTCTTTATACTCACTCTACTCGGTTTTATACACAATGAAGATTTAGAGGTTTTCATCTGTCGATGTTCAATCAAACATGTTGCTTGTCCAGCTAAAGAACTGTTAATTTGGCATGGCACTTCATGTTTTGGGTTTATGAGATTTTTCGAGAAATTTCATTTTTTGGTCTTCCTTTTCTGTCTCATAGGCAAACTGATGCTTGCAGCCATGATGGGTTTCAAAGCTTTTGAGCTATCATGTTTGGGCGTCCCAAAGTTCAATTTTTTTGTTGGTAAATCACCCTTTTGTGAAACTACACGACCTTCTACTTTTCTTGTTCTTTTATTACTCTCTCTTGTATAACTCAAAAAAAGCAATTTAGCATGTTCTCTTTGAGCTGAAAAACTGTTGATTGGCATGGCAGCTCAGGTGGGTATATGAGATTTAGGAGAAAGTTCCATTTCATGGTGCATTTTCTCTGTCTCACAAGGCTTACTGATGCTTGCAGGCATGACAGACCGATGCTCGCAGTCATTCTGGGTGTCAAAGCTTTTGAGCTAATCATGTTTGGTTGTTGCAAATTCAATATTTTTGTCGCTAAATCATCCTTTTTATGAAACTACACGGCCATCTTCTTTCTTGTTCTTATTACTCTCTCTTGTATAACTCAAACAAGACAATTTAAATCTCTCTTGAGCTGAAATACTGTTGCTTGGCATGGCACCTCAGGTGAGTATATGAGAATTAGGAGAAAGTTCCATTTCATGGTGCATCTTCTCTGTATCATAAGACTAACTGATGCTTGCAGCCACGGACAGATTCCAAAGCTTTTGAGTTGTTTCGTGTTTCGTCTTAGAAAAATTCAGTTTCCTTCCCACCCTCCCCAAACCACCCTTTTCGTGAAATTAAACATGACCTTCCTCTTCTTTTTTTTTTATTACTCTCACTGCTCCGTTTATTAAACCATGAGGATGTGGAGGTTGTCTTTTTGTGGAAGTTCAATAATTCTTCTTGCTCTTCAGGTGGGTTTATAAGATTGGAATTAAATTTCCATCTCATGGTGTTTCTTCTCCATCTCACACGACTGATTGATGCTTGTAGCCACGACAAATTTCAATTCTTTTGAGCTTATCATGTTTTGGCTTTGTAGAGTTCAATTTTTTTTTCTTTCACCAAACCACCATTTTGGTGAAATCACACACGACCTTCCATTTTTCTTATTTTTAGTGCTATTTCCAGTATAACTCAAATAGGGCAATCAAACCTGTTCTCTCTTGAGCTGAAAAACTGTTTTTTGGCATGGCATCTCATGTGGGTCTCTGAGATTTTTGAAGAAGTACCAATTCTTGGTGGTTTTTCTCTGTCTCTTAAGGGTAATTAATGCTTGCAGCCATGACATGTTTCTAAGTTTTTGAGCTGGTTCGTGTTTTGGGTTGAGTTTCTTACCCATCCCTCATCGTACCACCCTCTTTGTGATATTACACATGCACTTTCTCTTCTCTTGTTCTTTGTACTCACTCTGCTCCGTTTTATATACAATGAGTATTTGGAGGTTTCATCCATCGATGAATCAAACATGTCTCATGTCAAACTAAAGAACTTTTGCTTGGCACGGCACTTCAGGCGGGTCTATGAGATTTTGGGAAATGTTCCACTTATTGGTCTTTCTTCTCTGTCTCCTAGGCAGACTGGTGTTTGCTGCCATGCTGGGTTTCGAAGCTTTTGAGATAATCATGTCCGGGCATTGCAAAGTTCAATTGTTTTGTCACTATATCATCCTTTTGGTGAAACTACATAACCTTTTGCTTTTCTAGTTCTTATTACTCACTCATGTAAAATTCAGAAAAAGCAATTTAACAAGTTCTCTCTTGAGCAGAAAAACTGTTGCTTGGCATGGCACCTCAGGTGGGTATATGAGATTTAGGAGTAAGTTCCATTTCATGGTGCATCTTCTCCGTCTTATAAGGCTTACTGATGCTTGCAGCCAAGACAGATTTCAATGTTTTTGAGTTGATTTGTTTTTCGGCTTGGCACTTCCTCAAATCACCCTTTCCGTGAAATTAGACATGACCTCCTTTTTTTGTTATTCTTATAACTCTTTCTCCTCTGTTAATAAACCATGAGGAAGTGGAGGTTTTTTTCTTTTGTGGAATTTCAATCAAACTTGTTTTCTCTCAAGGTGATTAAACTGTTGCATGGTAGTAGGTACGACACCTCAGGTGGGTCTATGAGATTTTGGAATTAAATTTCTATTTCATGGTGTTTATTCTTCATCTCACTTGACTAGCCAATGCTTGTAGCCACGACAGATTTCAATGTTTTTGTTCTAACCGTGTTCTGGCTTTGCATGTTCAGTTTTTTTCTCTCACCAACCTCCCTTCTGGTTATATTATGCATGACCTTCCATTTATTTTATTACTCTCCCCGTATTACTCAAAATGGCAATCATTCAAACATGTTCTCTCTTGAGCTGAATGACTGTTGCTTGGCTTGGCATCTCATGTGGGTTTGTGTGATTATGGGGAAAGTTCCATATCATTTTGTACTTTTCTCTGTCTCACAAGGTTAACTAATGCTTTTGCAGCCATGACAGGTTTCTAAACTTTTGAGCTGATTCATGTTTCTTTCCCACCCATCACCTAACCACTTGCACTCCCTCTTTTCTTATTCTTAGTACCCACTCTGCTCCGCTCTATACATAATGAGATTTGGAGATTTTCATCCATTGTATTCAATCAAACATGTTGCTTGTCGCGCTAAAGAACTGTTGCTTGGCACAACACTTCCAGTGGGTCTGTTAGATTTTGGGATATGATTCCATTTTTTGGTTCTTTCTTCGGTGTCTCATAGAAAAACTGATGCTGGCAGCCATGTTGGGTTTCGAAGCTTTTGAGCTAATCGTGTTTGGACGTCTCAAAGTTCAATCTTTTTGTCGGCAAGTCAACCTTTTGGTGTAGCTGCACGGCCTTCTACATTTCTTGTTCTTATTACTCTCTCTTGTTTAACATGTTCTCTTTTGAGCTAAAATTTGATGCTTGGCATGCCACCTCAGGTGGGTATATGAGATTTAGGAGAAAGTTTCATTTCATGGTGCATCTTCTCTGTCTCATAAAGCTAACTGTTGCTGGCAAGTTCAACTATGAAAGATTTCAAAGCTTTTCAGTTGATTCGTGTTTTGGCTTGGCAAAGTTCATTTTCCTTTCACCCCACCCCAAACCACCCTTTTTGTGAAATTGCACATGCCTTTCCTCTTTTCTTATTCTTATTACCCTTTCTGCTCAGTTTGTATACCATGAGGATGTGGAGGTTTTGTCTTCCCTGGAAGTTCAATTGAACTTGTTTTCTCTCGAGCTGATGAAACTGTTGCTTGGCACGGCACCTCAGGGGGGTCTATGAGATCTTGGAATTAAATTTTTATTTCATGGTGTTGCTTCTCCATCTCATACTGTGAGCTTATTTGTTTATGATTTTTGGACTACCAGGAAAAGGAAAAGAAAGATGTAGGTCGCTTGAAGATGAAACAGAATATTTGAAGTTTATGTTCTCTTTGCTTTTCACATTTCATATTGTTTCTTACTTCATTTTTTTCCTTTTAATTGTGGATCCTTATTTTTGCTCTCACAGAACCCAAAAATGCTCTTTGCAAGCAATACAAGCAATCAACTTGAATAATGTAAGCTTTTAGCTCAGTGCTGTCTTTATTCAGTTATAAATTTTTGGAAGTCATTTATATTCTGGACTGATTTTCTTGAGCCTGAGGTCTACCCTTATCTTGGCGAGGCAACCCAGTAAGGCATCTCCGTTGGGAAACCGAGGTCTGCTTTCATGGGGGTTTCTTTGTCTCCTTTTTGCCTTAGAAAGAATCGGCCGAATGACGCTTGAAGTTTTGTGAATTCCCTTTCGTTAGGTTAGCCTAAAAAGGCAAGAATGAGGCAGCAGAGAGCATGATATTACTATCAAGGTTGGTTGCCCCTCTCTCTCTATGCTTCGCCTGCGATTCTCCATTTTTTAAAACAAACCAAAAACCCTAAAAAAAGAGGGACAGAGAGAGTGCACTTGAGTTTCTGGGTTTCTTTGCATTTTTGCACCCTTGGACGTATGCTCATATGGCGACAGACAACTATACTACAACAACATGACTATGAAAATTATTAAAGAGGCAGTGATGATTTCTGGGTTAACTAAATTCGGGCAATGAGATTACCCAACCCGTATCTTGGTGCGGCAATCCGGTATGGCCTGTAATTGAGACGCAGAACTCACACATGCAATCATGTATTGCAGCCACGGCGTGGTTGGCTTCTCTTTGGCCTTCTCATAATACAAATCTGAGCCTCAATTTGCTAAAGAAAAAAAAGGGTAAAGGGTCAAATTTACACCTTTACTATGCATAATTTGCAATATCTTTTCCATGATTAATGTGGGAGATATTGAACCCACACCCTTCTGATTAGCTGTTTTAATGCTTTTCATTCGTAGTGTATCTCCATATTTTGTTCTTGAAGGCCCCACTAGCACAATTGCAAAAAAATTTATGTAGTTTAACGTAAGAAAAGTTGTGATTTGTAGTACTTTGGATGTAGACACTCAATTGGACATACTTACGTAAATGCCATCAGTGGTCATTTTCCTTCACATGGTCTTGATTTTTTTATTGTTTCTTAAAAGTTGAAATTGTGACTTGTAAGAGAATGAGGAATTGGACCTGCTGTGGTAAGGTGGATGACAATGGTAAGTATTACTTTCTTTGACATTGATCTGATGCACTTTGATGTGCAGTTTCTTTCTTTTGAAGGATCATCTGATGTTAACTTTCTTTTGAAGGATCATCTGAAGTTGTACCTTCATTTGAAGAATCATCTGAAGTTGTACCTTCTTTGAAGGATCACCTGGATTTGTACTTCTTGTTGGACAACTTCTTGAGTCCCCCCCCCCCCACTAAGGATCGGGGTAAGGTCTATCTACCAATGCTAGCTTTTAATTATAGCATAAGGCTGTGATGATGACATATGAGGTTGAATAGATCTTCATCTTTTCTTATTCGTATTACTGTCTGCTCTGTTTATAAACTACGAGGATGTGGAAGTTTTGCCTTTTGTGGAAGTTCAATAAAACTTATTTTCTCTCGAGCTGATTGAACTGTTGCTTGGCACTGCATCTCAGATAGAACTACGAGATTTTAGAATTAAATTTCTATTTCATGGTGTTTCTTCACCATCTCATTCGGCTAACTAATGCTTGAAGCCTCGACGGATTTCAATGCTTTTGAGCTTATTGTATTTTTGCTTCATGAAGTTTTTTTTTTCATTAAACCACCCTTTTGGTGAAACTACACATCACCTTCCATTTTTATCTTTTAGTACCCTCTCCGGTATAACTAAAACTGCAATCAAACATTTTCTCGCTTGAGCTGAAAAACTATTACTTCGCATGGCATCTCATGTGGGTGTGTGAGATTTTGGAGAAAGTTCCGTTTCATGGTATTTTTTCTCTGTCCCACAAGGGCAACTAATGCTTGCAGCCATTCCAGATTTATAAGCTTCAAGGGTAACTTTTGCGGCCAATACTTGGGTCGGGCATTGGAGCTACCCTTATCTTTGCGAGGCAACCCTGTAAGGCATCTCCATTTTGCAACTGAGGTCTGCAGCCATGCCGGTTGCTTTGTCTTCTTTTGGCTAGTTTAACGAATTTGAGCCTTAGGAGAAAGAATTGGCCTAATGACACTTTACGTCTTGTGAATTCCCTTGTGTTAGGTCAGTCTATAAAGGCAAGAATGAAGCAGCAGAGACTATGGTATTTCTTATCAAGGTTGGTTGCCCTTTTCTCTATGTTTTGCCTATGATTCTCCATTTTTGAAAAACAAACCAACAGCCCTTAAAAGAGAAAGAGAGTGAGAGAATACACTCGAGATCTTGCCTGCATTCTTCTTAAGAAAATTATGTTTTTAAGGAATTCAAAGAAACAGTAGTTTTCAAGAATGTATTGGCATGGTACGAATTAAAGGAAATTCAAGAAATCTTTAATTCTCCTTTTTGCCTGGTTTAATCTGAGCATAAGGAGAAAGAATTACTCATTTATTATTCATCGCGTAATAATCCACATATTATTATTTACCACAGAGCAGTTTTTACGTTATTATAACAGCATAACTAATACTTCAACAAGTAATGTCTTCCTCTCTTATATTGCAATTTTGTGACATTACTGTAGAAAAAAAGACTGATATATAGAGTGCTTTATCATGCTTCTTCACTTTGTGATGGTCTGGTGAAAGTATATTTTTGTGCAGAAACTTAGGTCCATATCAAAATAAATGTGCGTCCCTTTTTACATAGTCAAGGTTTATGATTTTTTTGTTTGATTCTTGCATTTATCTTCATTGAGCATTATAGTCATTGTGATTTTCTTCAGCATGCTGAAGATGAGTGAATTCGTTTGGAAGAATAACGTGAGAAGGCAATGATTGTCTAATAATTCATTGAAATGTAATGGAGTCTGTACTTTATTGTATTATCAGGTCCTATCTTGAAAAATCAGGACAAGAACCTATCTTGATTCTGAGCAAGAATTGGTATATTCATTTTGATAGTTGGTAACATTGGTTTGGAGTCTGGTGGGGAAGTTTTGAAACTCTTTATGATAGGTAACATTGATTTTGATTTTTGAGTCTTTTACCACTCTTTTTTAGTTCATGCCTGAAATAGCAATTGCTACTCAACTATGCTGATCAAATTCTAAATTGGTGTTGGGGGATCTGCAATAATCATTCTCAAGCTTCAAGATCATTTACCAGGTAAGATAAGATCTTTGTTTAGATTTTCATTTCACAAACCAGTCTATGGAACTTGCCATTTACCAGAAATTCCATTTCTCTAAATTTTTCAATGTTCATTAAAGTTAAACCTTACTCCGAGCATGAAGTTACATGTTTTGGTTAAAGCAGGAACTTAAATCTGATCCAGTGGAAGCTAACATCTGTCACGCTTTTCTAAGCTTTTGAGCTGATTCATGTTTTGAGTGGAGTTTCTTTCCCATCTCTCACCGGACCACCCTTTTCGTGATATTACACATGCACTTCCTCTTTTCTTGTTAATATTACTCACTCTTCTTTGTTTAATACACAATGATGATTTGGAGGTTTTCATCTATTGATGTTCAATCAAACATATCTCATGTCGAACTAAGAAACTGTTGCTTGGCACGGCACTTCAGGCGGGTCTATGAGATTTTGGGAAATGTTCCTTTTTTGGGATTGCATGCATTACTCAACTAATGGGCTGTTTGACGGTTTTGTTCATTAATATCTCACTAATATTTTTTTTTTTTTATAGATGTTCTTTATTTATTATTTTGTGGTTTTACTTGTAATTGGGAGAACTGGTATGACTGTACACAACACAAAACATTAACGCTTACATTTTATTTTGGTTTTATTGCAAGATGTTTATGTATATCACATTCCTGGTACTTCGTTTCCTGTAAAATACTTCCTTTACCTGTACCGTGTCTAGAAAAAAAATACGGAATGGCCGGAGGGGTGCACACACACTCAGATACATACAAAGAGAGATGAAATATAGTTTTTGTTGCTCACTAATGTATGTAGAATGAAGTATGGTTGGGACATACATTTTGGTGCGTGTAGAATGAAGTATGGTTGGGACATACATTTTGGTGCGTAGGTACTTCTAGCCAATCTTATGGAGAGAATATGTGCCTGTTTCTTTCATCTTCTGTTGCGTTTCCTTTTTGTCTGGCCATTTTATCTTATGGTTTTGAATGCTTGCTTTACACCCGTGACGTTGAAAATACACCATTCAAATGATATGCATGCTTTCCCAGCAAGCTTTGATTGAAAAGGAGAGGCTCTAAGCTCTTAGATTTCTAACGTTTCTTTATTGGAAATTGGTAGTTAAACTCACGGGAGGCCAAATGGATATTGTAAGGTTTTAAAGGTACAATTCTTTTGCGTCTAGTTTCAGTATCCATGAGGATATGTATGAAACTACTAAATTGGCCTTTGTTCTTGCCATTCTTTACAAGATGACAGCAAGTGTTTATACCTTGATTATTGTAGACAAAATAATTGTACAACAGGTAATCTGCATATAAGACTACCTGATACATGAGTTGACTGTTGTTTACTGATAAAGGAAATTTCTTGGGATTTCTCTTTGCAGTCATTGTTCGTGATGCTATTACAACCAATCAGTTCGAAGGAAGCAAATGTAGTCGAAGTACTTCTAGTTTCTGACAAACAAATATAAAATATTGAATTACACACATTACTTTCTAAAGCTGTACTATTTCTTGATTGATCTTTTTGTTTGCATATATAATCTGAAAGGCCAAAGAGGGTGTTGCATTCTATGAAAGAGTCTCTGCTAAGAATCACCTCTGTGCTTTCCAATGTCTCCTTCAAAATTTCCATTTTTGTTATTTTTAGTACTCTTTCCGGCATAACTCAAAATGGCGATCAAACATGTTCTCTATTGAGCTGAAAAGCTTGTGCTTGTTATGACATCTCATGTCGGTCTGTGATACTTTGGAGAAAGTTTCATTTTATGGTGTTTATTCTCAGTATTAGAAGGTTGTGGCTAAATGATGCTTACAGCCATGAAAGCTTCTATGCTTTTGAGCTGATTCATGTTTTGACCTGACAATGTTCAGTTCCTTTCCCACCCCTCATTGAATCACCCTTTTCGTGATATTGCACATGCACTCCCTCTTTTATTGTTCTTACTACTCAGTCTGCTCCGTTTTATATACATTGAAGATTTAGAGGTTTTCATCTGTCGATGTTCAATCAAACATATTGCCTGTCCGGATAAAGAATTGTTGCTTGGCACGATACTTAAAGTGGGTCTATGAGATATTTTGAGAAGTTCCATTTTTTGGTCTTTCTTCTCTGTCTCATAGGCAAACTGATGCTTGCAGCCATGCTGGGTATCAAAATTTTTGAGCTAATTATGTTTGGGCATCGCAAATTCAATTCATTTGTCGGTAAATCACCCTTTTTGTTGAACTACACAACCTTCTACTTTTTTTGTTCTTATATCTCTCTCTTGTATAACTGAAGAAAAATCAATTTAGCATGTTCTCTCTTGAGCTGAAAACTGTTGATTGGCATGGCAACTCAGGTGGCTATATTAGATTTAGGAGAAAGTTTCATTTCATGGTGCATCTTCTCCGTCTCTTAAGGCTTACTGAGACATGACAGGCCGATGCTCGCAGCCATTCTAGGTGTCAAAGCTTTTGAGCTAATCATGTTTGGGTGTCTTAAAGTTCAATATTTTTGTCGCTAAATCATCCTTTTTTTGAAACTACGCAACCATCTTCTTTCTTGTTCTTATTACTCTATTGTATTACTCAAACAAGGCAATTTAATCTCTCTTGAGCTGAAATACTGTTGCGTGGCATCACACCTCATGTGGGTCATGAGATTTTGGGAGAAAGTTCCATTTCATGATGCGTCTTCTTTGTATCATAAGGCTATAACTGATGCTTGCAGCCATGACAGATTTTAAAGCATTTGAGTTGGTTTGTGTTTTGGCTTAGCAAAATTCAGTTTCCTCCCCCGCTCCCCCAAACCACTCTTTTCGTGAAATCACACATGACCTTCCTCTTTTTTTTTTTTTTTAAAAATTATTCTCTCTGCTCCGTTTATAAACCATGAGGATGTGGAGGTTGTCTTCCGTGGAATTTCAATAATTCTTGTTTTTTCTCGAGCCCATTAAATGATGCTTGACACCACTCCTCAGGTGGGTCTATGAGATTTTGGAATTAAATTCCATTTTATGGTGTTTCTTCACCATCTCACACGGCAAGTTGATGCTTGTTGGCACGACAGATTTCAATGCTTATGAGCTAATTGTGTTTGGGTTCGCGAAGTTCATTTTTTTCTCTTACCAAATCACCCTTTTGGTGAAATTGCTCACGTCCTTCCATTTTTCCAATTTTTAGTACTCTTTCCGGTATAACTCAAAAGGGCAATCATTTGAGCTGAAAAACTATTGCTTGGCATGGCATCACATCGGGATTCGTGAGACTTTTGAAGAAGTATTATTTATTGGTGTTTTTTCTGTCTCTCAAGGTTAACTAATGCTTGCAGCCATGACATGTTTCAATACTTTTGAGTTGAGTTTATTTCCCATCCCTCACTGAAAAACCCTTCTTATTGCACATGCACTTCCTCTTTTCTTGTTCTTAGTACTCAGTTGCTCCATTATGTACACAAAGAGGATTTGGAGGTGTTCATCCATAAATGTTCAATCAAACATGTCTCTTTGACGAAGTAAAGAACTGTTGCTTGGCACAACACTTCGGGCAGGTGTATGAGATTTTGGGAAATGTTCCATTTTTTGGTCTTTCTTCTCGGTCTCATAGGCAAACTGGTGCTTGCAGCCAAGCTGGGTTTCGAAGTATTTGAGCTAATCATGTTTGGGCGTCGCAAAGTTCAATTTATTTTGTCGGTAAATCACCCTTTTTGAGAAATTACATGACTTTCTATTTTTCTTGTTCTTATATTACTATCTCTTGTGTAACTCAAAAAAGTAATTTAGCATGTTCTCTTTTGAGCTGTAAATCAGTTAATTGGTGGCAGCTCAGGTGGGTAGATCAGATTTAGGATAAGGTTCCATTTCATGGTGCATTTCTCTGTCCCGTGAGGCTGTCTGATATTTAGGAGAAAGAGAGCTGCAGCAGCACATTTTAGAACTCACCTCAAATACACCGATCGCCTGTTTTCCTCCCAGAGGCTTCACAGGATCAGCTCTTACAGTAGTATCTGATGGATGTTTTGGACACTACTTTGGTTATGGTATGGAGTACCAGAGGGGCTTTGCAGCTTTGTGGGGTTCTTTGAGGGATTCAGGGATGCATAGTTTCACTTCTAGTATATTCATCTGTTCATTCCAATTGCCTATTACTCTTGTAGATATGCTTACAAATTTAAATTCTGTAGTTCCTTGACTTCAAAACTGTTCTCTTTGAAGCATTATTTGAGATCAATAATCTCATTTGTTGAGTTTATCTTTATTTCTTCTTCAGATTGCAACTGTACCCGAAGAGCACGGAAACATCCACGTGGCAATACTATTTAGGTATACTGAATCTATTTAGTGCCTACGTTGAGGAAGGCATTGCCAAAAGCACTGGTGCACAAGGCTCAAGATCTATACTAGAAATTATTTTGACTGAAGCCACGTTTGAGGTATTGTCAAGCATGGTTTCTCTTTTGTAATCTGGTTCACTTTTGCACTATCAGCTAGTTATTCTATTATAAACTTTTGGTGTTCATATTTGTTTGCAGGCTGCTGACTTAAATGTCAAAGCAACTCAGCAAGGGGTTGTCTAGATAGAGGAAGTTGATAATTAGCCAAAAAGTTCAAAAATTATTATCTACATGGATATGAATAATCGAGTTTGAAGTCATCCTTATAATTAGTCACCTGTTTAGGCTGAGAGCCTTAACATTTGCAGAGATTTATCTGAGAAGGATGTCCAACAGGCGCTGCTTAAGATGCTTGAAGGAACTGTGGGTATTTATTGCAAATTATTTCTTTTGTTCATTCCTATTGACTATTACTCATGTAAAACATTTTTTTAAGTTCATAGTTCTAGTTCCTTCACTTCAAATGTGTTCTCTTTTGAAGTATTTTCCGGAGATCAATAATCTCACTTGCCGAGTTAATCTTTATTTCTTTTTCAGATTGTAAGTGTACCTGACAATAGAGCATGGAAGATTCCACCTGGCGATACTATTCAGGTATACTGAATTAAAACCTTTTTATCTAATTTTTCTTTAAAAAAAATGCAGGCAAACAGTTTTGTTAGAAAAATACTTACCACTTGCTATTTGGATAGTAATATAGTTTAGTACTTTTTAGAATCAATTGGATTAAGTTGGGGGTGGAAAACAATTTCTACGAGGGAAGAATGTTTGGCCAAGGAAAATCAGATGTCAGACGCAGACACAGACCTATTCAACAAACAAGAAACAACACTTCTTCAGCTAAACTATATGTTGGCAGTGGGAAGTCAAGTCAAATACTGGTTTATATTCCTTGAAACAATTATCTACCAAGGCTGTGAAGTTGTCGGGTTGTTCCTGTCTTGGGCCTAGGAGCTTCTTATTGACCCTACTAAAATGGTTGTAGTCTTTTTCATATTATAGAGCTTGTTGCATAATCAACATCGGCCTGCCAAATATTTCATTTTCCTTCTTAAATTGTTTAACCTTTTCCCATTTGTTGTTTCTTGTGTTGTTCCTATGTTGGGGCTAAGAGCTTCTTGTTCAATAGCTCTTCGCTGTTCTTTCTAGATGCTGACTGCTCTTTATATTTTTCCATACAATAATCTGCAGATAGCTAAAGCTATCCTTTTTACCTGTGCTGGAGCTTTTGTTGGTTTAGAGAAGACAATTCAGAAAGGTTATTTGTCAAACTCAACTAATTTCATGAAACACTTTTAGGTCAAGTGATTCAATATGGTACAACTTATCATTCCTTTATTCTGAGACGGCAAAATCCTTTAATTGGATTCTGAGCACCTGTTCGAACTAACATGAGAGTTGGTGGTCTAACTGATGTTATAGTTACTTCATCACTATTGGAATCTCTGAGGAAATCCCTGTAACTTGAGCTTAGTTTTCTTTTCCGGATCACTATAATTTAATAATTTCATGACTCTTTGTTCTCGTGAAATTCTAAAAGCCAAATACATCGAAAGCATTTGTTCACATTGGTTTTGTTTTCTAGGTAGAAAGTGATCTCACTGTGTATGGACTTATACCTGAATTTGTGCACGGCTTCCAGTTTTAGTGAGTTGTATTCCCTGGATAAGGATCATCTTGTGGAGCTTTGTCTACTCTTTTCACCTTTTGGCGACGTAGTTTCTAGTTTCATGATTTCCTGGTTTAATTGACTTAGTTTGGCTCCATTTTTGCTGATGACAGGCAGTAACAAATACTACATATATATGGCAATTTCTGATTTTCTAAAGGAGTTAAGCAAAGAGGGTTTTAAACTAAATGTTTCTGGATTGGCTGTGAAATGGTATGACCTTTTCTCATTTTTTGTTTCTTATGCTCGTGTTTTTCCTGTCTTTGGATTAGGAGCTTCTTATTTGACCCCCTACTAAAATGGTCCTAATGTCATATTATAACCATAGGTTTGTGACCAGCAAATTTTAGAGACGACTAATCGGGTTTGTGATAAATTTCTTAATGGAAAAGATTAGCATTGTGATATTGCTAGCATAGCTTTGAAGACTTTTATATCTGAAGTTCCTTCATCATGTATTGCTTGAAACGTCCTCGTCTCTGTAACACCTCGGACTTCGAGAAAGGTCTAGAAAGGACAAGCGGGTAAGTCCACAAACCCAAATGGACCATGTATCCTTCATAGGCACCCTAGACGGGCCGTTTAGTGGTCCACCGCCCGTTAAGGGCATCGTGAGACCATCCTGGCCTGTCCCTAGGTTGTACTAGTCACCTAGACAGTGAGGTTGCACCCAAGGTCACTGTGAAGGACCACAAACGGCTAGACGGTCCATGGAGCTTCACACGGACCGTGAAATCGTCCGTGAATGGGGCTTATCAGGTTTTGAGTTTTGGGTTAACTTCATTCGATCATATCTTTCAACACAAAATTAATTAGGTTGCCCATGACCTATCAAATAAAATGTCTCTGAGTCATTTTTCCAACGTCACCAAGTTCGCCTAATACTGAGCTCGGAGTTAAAAGTTATGTCCGTGTTAGTGAGGCCCTGTCGGGCAGGGGATCATTACAACCCACTAGATGGGCCATGATGCTCTAGACGGCCCGTGAAGCCTCTCGTGGGAGGCACTTGGTCAGGTTTAAGTCTTGGCCGTATCAGTCTTAAACTACATCATTTGGTTCATATACTACATTGTTTTCATCTAAGCCTAGTAACCTAGTCGGAAACTACCTAAAACCTTCATTGTCATAAAATCATCTAAGTTGGAAAGAAAAGAAGAGACGAATGCGTATCTGAGAGTCGGATTCGGTGAAATCCAAATTTTAAGATTCGTGGGTGCGAAGCTGAGTATGGATACGGGTGCGGGGATATGGCTAAAAAAATTCAATATTATAAAAATATAGGTATGAAGATAAACTTACATGTATTTTGTAAAATTCTATCTTGCGTTCTTCAAGATGAGATTACTCTTCTATTCTTCCTACAAAGACGCAACAAAATAGAAACTAGACATTTAAAGCATTTACAAATTACAACAGAATAAATCATATATCATATATTATTATAAGCGGGAAGCTCTCAACTTAAAAGTTGAATTACTATTTAGCCCTTAAAATAAATTAAAGTAATTAAATAATATTATTGAACAATATTTTCCGACAATTAATTTGAAAGTTGAAAAGACTTAAATCAGTTTATTATGAAATTTGAAAGGATGCATGAAAATGTAGAGTATAATCAGTTATGTATGGAATTTAAAGGGTTACATCACTATAAATAGGGTTATATCCTTCATTATATGGAATTCAAATGGCTACATCAGTACCATGACTGACATATACTCATATTCATCATTTGGATTGTTATAACGAGAGTTTTCCAGGTTGGATGAAATTCAAAGAATGAAACAATCTTAGCTTCTTGGACAAATATGCTTGGTGTCTTGATAGGAGAATAACGGTTTGGGATATCAGGATCGATATATTAAGAACAAACTCCAAAAGATGAATCACTAGAATTGTTGTTTATTCATGGTTATATTATTACAAATCTGGCATATGGCTGAAAACATCCACCATGATGATCACCTGTATGAAGATAATCCCCCCCCCCCTCACCCGATGGTCCTAGTATATATATATATATATATATATATATATATATCCCTTGGGTAAGTAACAACTGTTTCTCTCTGTAACATTTTCATATGTATTTAGCCAACAAAGAATGAGTCAAACTTTGTTTTCATTTAAACGTGTAATATACAGTTGCAATGCACGTGTCAAGGACTAGTATAACTAAAAGAATCAATAAAAATTGGAAAGAAGAACTAACCTTAGAACATGGATAGACTCTTGAAAGTTGAAACAAAGTGAAAAGTGAAGAAAACACTACAAAATTATTAAAATTCAAGAGATACACAAAGATATTTGTCCACAATTTAGATATTCATAATTACTAATCAATATTCAATACACCAAGTAAAAGTGTAAAACATACTATTGAACAAAAAGCAAGAGATTGTCTCAACTTAATCCATAACTTAAAATTAACATAACAACAAAATATTGTCAATTATCAAGTTATTTAATTAAGTTAGCTATCTCTTCCACATTTTCTTCAACTTATTCAAAATCTTCAAACTCTTCCTCAAATATCACACTTTCAATTTGAGGATCATCTATTGAAAGCTGGTTAGATCATTGGTTGTCTCATCAATATCAAATCGATCTCCACCTAAAATAAATTAAAAAGAATAAATATATTAGAAGATCTTATATAAAAAGAAAAGAACACCATTTAAACTAAATAATTGAAGAAAATATAGACATACCAACATTCCAATATTTGCTTGGCCCATTTATATATTTCTCTTTCTTGCGAGACAACAACCGAAGATTATAATGTACAAACACTAAATCTTCGGCTCTTGAAGTTGCTAAGTTATTTCTCTTGATATTGTGAATCAAAGAATATGTACTCCAATTTCTTTCACAACAAGAGGAAGAAGTCGGTTGAGTAAGCAATTTGTAAGCTAATTGTTGCAAAAGTAGAGCCGAGACCCCATGATTTGCCCACCAAGAAAGAGAATCTTCATACATCATAGCCTCAATCACATGAGGCTCACTAAAATAGCCATTTCCACTACGAAAGGATCTATACTCCAATGAGGCTTGTTTCATTTCATTAAAATCTTTAAAGTACCTTTGAAAGCACTTGACTCTATTCAATGAAATTTCACTATCTTCACTGGGAGCTAGCTTTTGAATTCCATTCTCTCCTTAAAGCCATGATTCATGATAATATTTGGGAACCAAAGAATGTGCCATACAATGTAGAGGTGTGTTACTTTTGTTCCACCTAGCTAGTATCAAAAAAATTTGATTGACCGGAAATGAGATTTCTCCCTCATGCTCAAAGATGACTTTCTCAATCATTGAGTCCCACATATCATAAACGAGATGTAATTTTGGACCATCAATATCGGCACTTCGTAGCATATCAATAATTGGTTTCGTAAATTTCAAGAAACAGTCAATACTATCGCTTTTTTCATCATTCATTATAAGGGTTTTTTTATTTCACGTGTCTTGGCTTCAATTTCCTTATCCCCCTTATAATTATTCCATTCATCATCCATGACCATTTTCTCCAAAGCAGATTTTACTTAGCGAATTCGGGTGGTCATAATGATGTGTGAGGCAAATCTTGTTTCACCAACCTTCAACAAACACAAATCCGAATGTTTTTGAAAAAGTGCATGTGCCGTGTCATGGTTCACAACAAAATTCTTTAAATTACTCATTTCACTAAGTAACTCTAAAATTCATTTACAATTAGTAAAGTGAGGTGATTTTTTCGAAGGTTGGCACATACTTTTCAAAGTTGGATTCAAACAATTAACAACGCAAATAGTCCAAAATATATGAGGATATTTTTGCTCCACTATAGTACCGGCAAGTTTCATATTACTTGCATTATCCATAAGAACTTGAACAACATTGTTTGAACCTACATTTTCTATTGCTTCAATAAATAAGTTAGCAATATATCACCATCTTTTATGATTCCACTAGAATTGATTGAATTCAAAAACATTGGACCTCCACCAGATGATGTCATTATATTGATCAAATGTCGTCTTTTAGTATCGGACCATTCATCCAAACAAATCGACAATCCTTTCTTTTTTCATGTAACTTTTATTGGTTGCAACTTTCTATCAATATGTGTTTTTTCTTGAGCTAAAAGAGTTGACCTCAATCTATTATATGATTGGGGAATATAACCGGGAATGAAATTTTCGGCTAGAAACTTACAATATTTTTTTAAAATAAGGAGTGTTGACAAAGTTGAATGATAACCCTAATGCGTAGAACAACCTAGCGGCTAATTTGTCGGCCGCATTCCTCTCATAGATACCGAATGATTTTGCGGTAGCTCCACTACTCAAACTCTTTCATTTTTTTTTGTTGAATTAGATCAGTTCCCTCCGGAAGTGATATATAATCAGCTTTTTTCTTACATCAACTTGAACATTGGTTCGTTTTCTTTCTGCTTGTTCATGCTCCATCATCAATATCGCGTATATACCACCACTACTTTCTTTACATATTTGAACACCATGTCCCAATAATCTCAAAAGATTTGCTTTCACCCTATTATATGATCCCGTAACTATTCTATTACAATAGTTACAAGACTATGTCCTATTCTCATCCCCATTTGGAACCATCGGAATAACTTTAACATGATTCCACGGAGGTTTATCATCAAAATCTATTCCTACACTTTATGTAGGTTTCATAAAAATCTTCTTTTTTTTGACTACTTGATGTCATCTTGTTAAATTAAGGAAGATGAGTTTTTTTTTGCTTACAATTAACTTGAATGAAAAACAAAGAAGAAACAATGGTGTTTTTGGTTTTGGGAGGGAAAAGTAGGTGAGTATGAAATTTGTTCAGACTAGATGATGAGTGATGGGATGTTTTTTTTGACTCCTACTCTACTTGGAAAACTTTTGAGCTTTCTTTTTTCATCATTCAAGAGGAGTGTATGTATATTGTATACATATATTTTTACTATTATTATTTGAATTGTTTTTATAGTTCTAATAGAAAAATTTATGTTATCTAATTTTTATTTTTCTGAGAACGTATGGGTATAATGCTTTTATCTAAGAATTAAGTAGTTTTAATATTTTTTTATACTTATATTTTTAATATTTCGATAGTTTGAAGCTTGTAGTGATAGAAAGAACAAAAAAATCTAATAAGATGAGATCTTTAAAGCGTTTGTAATGATAGGAAGAATTTAGTGATCTAGCAAAACATGATCCTTGATCTGGATATGATATTGTACGTGAAACTTTATATATATACAATAATGCTGTTGTACAAATGGTGTTAAAAGATGGGGAATATTGACGTATTTGATAAAGTTATGTTATAATGTTCATAATTTCCTCAAAGTAGCGGTAATAGATGGTCGAGTTCGTATGTAAGGAGAACCAACTAAAAATGTGAACAGCTTGATTGGCTCTTACAGTCTATTCATCAAAGTTTGGATGTCTGGAACCAATGGAAAGTGTACTTTATGGGCGAAATTGAAATTTTTTGGCTCTATAACTATAGTACCACACGTCTTTATCTAAATAAAAAAAATATGCGTTAAACTCACTCTAAATATGTACGGCAAGAAGTTAATAGATTTTGCGTAAGACTTTGGGCAACAAAGATACATATTTTTATAGATCATCCATACGCTACAAGTTTAGGATTCTGAGTTAAGAGGCGTATATTTTTATAGATCATCCATACCCTACAAGGTTAGGATTCTGAGTTAAGAGGCGTAAGGAGGTTTATTGGAATCTCTTTCATTTATATACTAACAAAGTTAAAAAAAAAATCATAGATATTGCCTTTATTTGAATAGTTTTTGTACACATTGTTGGAATAACCCCATTAATTGTTGTTATTTGTAATTTCATTTGAATGACAAATGGTTGGTGGTTGCTGGTGAAGAGAATCAAGAAGCCAGTAAGCAGGAGTATTGGAAAAGGAGGGTGATTGAGGTGGTTTTCCCTAATAAGTCTGTAAATCCTCCAAAGTAAGTAATTTTTGGATTAATTTTATGTTTTTGTAGCTTTTGTTATCTTAATTTTACTTGGTTTTAATATGTTTTTTCTTATTTAATAGTCTTTACAACTTGTCTGACCTGGAAAAAGGTTATGATGATAGCCAAATTCCAATACTCAGAACAATTCCTATAAAAGAAGAACCAACACATGATTTGACAGCTTCTATAACCGTTGTTGTAGCGGCTTTTGCAAAAAATCAAGAGAAGGATATTTCTTCTCCTACACCTAGAAGAAATACCAAAGCTAATGAATGAATGTGGCATGACTACCAATGCTGCAACTGCTGTTTCTCTCAATATTGCCATGTCTAGCCAGTGGATCCCTTGCCTAGGACAAAACCGGATAAGATAATTAACAAGCCCATTAATGAATGATTAATGAATGTCAAGCTCCCCATGCAGGATCTTGACAAAGTTTTTGGCCAAAGTCAATGACAAATTTTGTGCCCTTGATAATAACTATGAGAAGTGATTTGATTAATGAACAACAAACCCTCTTTCTTCAGGTAGAAACTACAAACTTTAGAGAGAGCAAGTCAACAATAGCCTATTCCACTTCAGAGCTTGATATGGAAAATATTAAGAAACTGATTAGCAAATATGAAGTACCTGACAATGTAGAAGGAAAGCCCTTGGTTATTTTTTAGTTGGTTTTCAGATATGATCCAACCAGCTTGCATATGTTGGCCATACATCCTCGATGACTAGTCACAAAGATAACATCAATTACTGCAATTCCCTGATCAAGCAACATGTAGAAAAACTGAGTTTATGGTTGATGAAATCTTACAAAATAAAATCATCATAGTATTACACAGTGCAAGTTTGATAAAGAACCAAAAATCTATTCAAGTGCAGCTTAACACCTTGTGTTTTCTTTAATAAACCTAAGGGATGCCGTAATGGCTCCTCTTGTCACTTCCTGCATGATATATCTGGTAAAAAGAGATCTGGGAGGACATCAAAAGGTCGAGATTCAAAAAACTGAAGGAAAGTGGGGTACATTAATATGGCATGACTCATAGAAGTTTTCTTTTCTTTATACAGGGATTTACTAGTGACAAAGCAGTTTGAACAAATGTGCAACTGCTTTGTCACTAGTAGTTCCCTGTATAAAGAAAAGAAAACCTCGTTGAGTCATGCCATATTAATGTTCCCCACTTTACTTCAGTCTCTTCGAATCCCGACCTTCTAATGTCCTCCCAGATCTCTTTTTACAGAAATATATCATGCAGGAAGTGAAAAAAGGAGCCATTACGTCATCCCGTAGGTTTGTTAAAGAAAACACAAGGTGTCAAGGTGCACATAATTTGTTTTTGGTTCTTTAACAAACATGCCTCCTGTGTAGTACCATGAGGATACATACTTTGTAAGCTTTCATCAACCACAAACTCAGTTTTTTCTCTACGTTGCTTGATTAGCGAATTGGAGTAATTGATAATATCGTTGTGACTAGTCATCGAGGATGTATGACCAACATTTTGTGAAAGAGACAGTTAAGGCTGCAAGCTGGTTGGACCATATCTGGAAACTAACTCAAAAATAACCAAGGATTTTTCTTTTGCATTGACAAGTACTCTATGTTTGCTAATCAAGTTTCTTAATATTTTTTGCAGATCAAGCTATGAAGTGGAATAGGCTATTGACTTGGTCTCTCTAATGTTTGCAGTTTCAACCTGAGGAGGGGTCCCTTGTTCATTGACCAAATCACTTCTCATAGTTATTGTCAAGGGCACATATTTTGCCATTGGCTTTGGCATAACACTTTGTCCTGATCCTGCATGGGGAGCTTGGCATTCATTAATGGGCTTGTTGATTACCTTATCCAGTTTTGTCGAGGACAAAGGAACCAGTAGATCCACTAGCCTAGACATGACAATTTTGCGAGAAACTACAGTTGCCGCATTGGTAGTCATGCCACATTCATTCATCAGCTTTGGTATTTGTTCTAGGTTGAAGATAAACCTAATCAATAAGTTGGCATCAATCAGACTATCCTGCTCTTGACGTTTTACCAGAGCAGCTACAGTTGTGGCTACATAAACTGTCACATCATGTGTGGATTCTTCTTCTGTAGGCATTGTTCTGACTACTGGAGTTTGGCTATCATCATAACCTTGTTCCAGGTTAGACACATTGTAAGGAATGTTAAATAAGAAAAATAAAAGATTAAAAACAAGTAAAATTAAGATAACGAAAGCTACAAAACATAAAAAAAATCCAAAAATTACTTACTTTGGAGGAATTGCAGATCGATTAGGGAAAACCGCCTGAATCACCCTCATTTTCCTATTCTCCAACTGGTTTCTTTACTTTCTTCCAGCAACCACTAGCCATTTCTCATTCAAATGGAATTACAAATTACAACAACAAATTCGCTTGGTCATCATACTTGAAGGTAGTGGCAGCTCTAAGGCTAGGGTGTTTGTGAACACTTAAGTACGCATGGCGAAGCCGATGGATCTAGGGTATCATGTAAGGGAATCTAGGAACAATTTAAGCATGAATTGCCAAGTCAAAGGATCTAGGTATTCAGTAAGGGTTCTCGAGAACAATTTAAACATGAATGGCCAAGTTGACGAATCTAGGGTATTTGGGTAAGGGTTTTCATGAACAATTTAAGCATGAATCGCCAAGTCAGCGAATCTAGGCTACTGGGTTATGATTTTCTGAACTAAGCCTCCAGATCTACGCTATCCATCCGCTGCTATCGGGATGCACACAAGATCAAATCCCACTCAGCCGCGCGTATGTAATAACTCACAAATTACAGAAGGAAAATCACATAGATGCGACACAAGGGACCACTCCGCCGCTCTTATTTAATAACTCACAAATCACACAGACGACACACAATGTAAAATCTCACTCCGCCGCTCTTATGTAATAATTCACAATTCACACAAAGGAGTTGACTTGTACTAAGCAAGCCGAGGTTAGGGTTTGGGTAAGATTTTTGCTCAAACTTTACATTTATATAGAAGAGCCAAGTTGAGGACGATCAAGGGCAAATTTGTCATTTCATAAATATACTAGAATGTTTGTTTTTATGTTATGGCATCAAAAAAAATGGTAATAGATTTATAAGAACATATAACCAAATATCTTTTCTCAAATTTTCTGTGTATCCTAATGATGTGACATTTAATTTGGACACAAATTTTCTATAGATTTTTTTTTCTTTTATTGTAGTGTGATATTTCCATAAACAAAAAAATATCCATTAAACAATGGCATTTTAGTAACTTTAATATTATTTAAAGGCGAAATAATTGTATAATTAATGATCAAAATGAAAATTTAGAAGAATTCACATATGTCTTTACTTTTAAAATTGGTTCATAAGGAAATTTTTATAATTGTTGTAAAATGAAGAAATTCTATTAATTAGCTTTTTACAAACAATAATAAATGCTAAGCTTGTTTTGACATGTTTTTGAAAGAAAATTTTGAACTAATTTAAAATAAAATGTGTTTGAATAGTTAATATTTTGTTCCTAAAAATACTTTAAAGAATTATTGCGTAAACATATTGTTAGTATTTGTTTCAAATATGACCACTAAATTTGTATCTTGATTGTTAAAATCATCTTAAAATGATGTATTAATATTTTTTAATTAATTAACTTTTTAAAAACAATAATAAATGTTAAGCTTGTTTTGACATGTTTTTTGAAAGAAAATATTGAACAAATTTAAAATAAAATGTGTTGAATAGTTAATATTTTGTTTCTAAAAATGCTTTAAAGAATTATTGCGTAAACATATTTTAAATATTCGTTACAGAATATGACCACTAAATACATATCTTGATTATTGAAATAATCTTTAAAATGACGTATCAATATTTTTAATTAATTGAAGAAATGTAAAATTGCATGACTAAAAGAAATGACAATGTTTAATTATTAAGAAATTAATGATTTGATAATGTATTTATCAAAAGATTAAAATATATAAAATTTTCATTTTTATATAATAAATATTTTCTTAATATCAATCATGGTAAACTATTTAACAGGGAAATTAGACAAGAAAAAAAATTAATATTCAAATTCTAAGGAATATTTTAAAATACAAAACAAGAAATACAAGTAGTTAAAAAATAAAGAAAAAACAAAAATTGAAAATGTCTATAGCAAAGGGCTTGAGCATATAAAGGAAGAAAAAATTAAAAAATAAATAATAACTTGAAAAAGAAAAGTATATTGGTTATTTTGTGGGGGTAAAATTCAAAGTTTTCTTTTATGACATGATGAGTGTAGTATCGAATAAAATTATTAATGTAGTTTAGAATATAACATTATCTCAATTGTTATCGTATATAGAAATAAAATTGCTTTCATGATTGTTTTTATTTTTGTGGAGTTAGAAATCAATATTTTAATAAATATTTTCAATATTTAAAATATAACATTATGATAATTGTAATTGTATATAGAAATAAATTTAATTTCATGATTGTATTTATTGTTGTGGAAGTTAGAAATCAAGTTTTTAATAAATACTTTCAATATTAATATCAAAATAATAGAAATATTTCTATTAACGAAGACAATAATGAAATGCATCAAATTAACTGACAAAGCAAACTACAAACAAATTATTTGACGTAGAACACAATAATAATAATTTATTTTACATTTGAAAGGAAGGATCTAGTGTAAATTTGTGTCAACTCGACCTTATATACTTTCAATTTCATTCCCAATATAATTTAAATAAAATCATTAAATCCCATTTAAATTGAATTGAATCATAAGAATAACTTTTGGCCGCTCGAATCTAAATGTATTCAATTATTTTGTACCATTCTTAGGTAGTAATACACTAATACCAACACTTTATCCAAGGTCAAATAGGTGATCCAATTTGTGACAAATATCATAGAACCTACTTGCTCTTGTTCAAGTTATCTCCTCGTAGTGTTGCGCAAATTGACTCATATTTCATTCCCCAAGGAGATATTTTAAGTGTGTAGTATTAAGGACAAGTCAAATTGACATGCTTTCAGTATTACTTATATAGAGCGTTGATATGCTTAAGTTTTTTCCAAATATTTCCTTAACAAGTTTGTATAATTCTACCATTGAACAATTTAACATTATCGTAAAGAGGATTGCCCATCAAAAGTTGGCAAGGATCTCAACGATATACTCAGTTAAAGCAGACACATCAAAGCATTAATAGATCATAGATCATCTGAAAGAAGAGATTGCTTGAAGAAGTCAGAAGAGAGACTTTCTTCCAAATCTTTGGTTATATGGAAATGTCTTCCCAAGTTAATCTAAATTTAGACTATAGGAATTGCCTTTATTTGAATAATTTATGTATCCATTGTTGTGATAACCCCATTTCTTGTTGTTATTTGTAGTTCTATTTGAATGAGAAATGACTAGTGGTTGCTGGTGAAGAAAGTAAAGAAGATTTTGATGAGGTGCTAGGACTTTATGATAATAAGAGCAAGAAGAGACTACAACCAAGTAAATTGATATAAAGAAGCGATAAAACCTAAGAGATAGTCCAAAAATACCACACTTAAGAGGAATTGTAGACTAATAAGGATAAACCACCAATCACTTTCTTTCCCCTATGCTCCGCTCCTTAACACCTCCTTCTTTACTCTCATCACTACCAACCATACGCCAATTATTGGTCAAATCAAACTAGCAATAACAACATTAAATGGGTTGTTACGACAATATGTGAATAAACTAAGCAAATAAAGACAATTTCTATCATCTAAAACCTAGATTACCTTGGAAGAGTGTTTCCATTTAGCCACAGATTTGCAAGTAAAGCCTCTATGTTGACTACTTCAAACAACACCTTCCTTCAGATGATGATTTAATAATTAAATAGTACTTGGATGTATACACATTAACTAAAGATGATGTTGAGATCACCTAATAATTTTTTATGCGCAATCATCCTTTTAAATATATTTTTACCTGTCGAATACTAAAATATGCAAACTTGTTAAAGAGAAATTGAAATAAACTAAACCTTTCTATAGGATAGGTCCGCAAGTTATGTAAAAAGGGTTTCTTCCCCTTGTCTCCAGAACTAATCCGCCCCGCCCCATAACTATCAAAGCACACGGAGAAGGAACTAGCCATAAAACCTTCTTGAGACACCATACTAGAGACTGATATCTTCTCGATACCAAGCCCAAACAAACTGTTTGGTGTTGCAACATCTTGAAAAGAACCAGCTTGAGTCTATCCACTACTGCACAGTTGAAATTGGCATGTATCAGAGAATGAATTTGAGCAGAAGCAGAAGAATTGCTCACATCTAATTAAAAATAACTACAACTCAAAAATCATTTATGAGTCAGGACAGGACATCCCTGAGTTAAATTTGATCTACAAATCCAGAGCTGCAAAGTAGATTGGTCTTGAATACTTAAAGGTCGCGGCGGTTTTAGGGTATCAAGTTAGGGCTTTCAGGAATGACTTTTGCGCAAACCTTATATTTATACAAAGAATCTATTAAATATACAATAAATGTTTGTTGAAAACTTTCTAACAAAGCAGTCACTTGGTCCCGAGTTAGTGAAAAAGACACTTATAGTTAACTTGCCTTTTTAATGGGGGTTTGATTCGCCTTGAACAAATATAAAGAAGTTTTGCTTTTAAGTTTGTAACTAATGGGAATTCATAAATTGAACTAGAAAGGAATTCGTCAGTAAATTATATTGCCTATATAAGTAAAATAGTACCCTAAATGACTACTTACCTTTGGATACCTTGAGCCCAATAGGCATGTATAGCCAAGTGGTTCTTGGGGCTGTTAAATCGCACGCAGGGGAGCTTGGGGATCGTAAGTTTGATCCTCATCAACAAGATTTGTCCTTTATGCCATTTTAAATATTTTAAGGGAAAAAGGTCTGATATACCCTTCAACTTTGTCATTTAGAGCTGATATGCCCCTTGTTATGAAAGTGGCTCATATATACCCTTACTTGTAAACAAATTGCTCACATATACCCTTTTCCTCTAACGGAAATGAAAAAGGGGAAAAGGGTCTGATATACCCCTCAACTTTGTCATTTAGAGCTGATATATCCCTTGTTATGAAAGTGGCTCATATATACCCCTACTTGTAAACAAATGACCCACATATACCCTTTTTCTCTAACAAAAATAGAAAAAACATTTAATCTAAATTTTTATTATTTTTTTCTAAAAAATATAATCCCATATGAGTAAATTTAATCCTCGTCAAACATATTTTTTTTGACTTTTTTTTGTTTCAATGATGAATTTATAATTATTATTTTGATAATCAAATTTATTTATGTTTCACTAATATTCTTGTAAAACTTATTGTAGATGACCAAATTTTTTCTTCGAATACGAAATTAAATTATAATACACACACAAAAAATATTTTAATTTTTTTCTCTTTAAACTAAGGAATGAAAGAAAAAAATAAAATAAGAATAAGAAACTCAAATAATTATAATAAAAGAGTCAAAAAATAATTTATGTATGAAAAAAATTAAAATATACCTTGAACTTTGATAGAATAATCATATATACCCCTAAATAATTTTTTTTAAAAAAAATTAGAAGTAAATAAATATAAATTTAAAACTAATTTTTTAACTTCCGTCAAATGAAGGGTATATGAGCCGTTTGTATAACGGTAAGGGCATATATGAGCCACTTTTATAACGAGGGGTATATCAGCTGCAAATGACAAAGTTGAAGGGTATATCAGACTCTTTTCCCATGAAAAAATAATAATTTTCAATCTAAATTTTTATTATTTTTTTCTAAAAAATATCCCATATGAGTAAATTTAATCTTTGTCAAACATATTTTTTTTTGACTTTTTTGGTTTCAATGACTAATTTATAATTATTATTTTGATAATCAAATTTATTTATGTTTCACTAATATTCTTGTAAAACTTATTGTAGATGACCAAAATTTTTTCTGAATACGTAATTAAATTACAATATACACAAAAAAATAGTTTAGTTTTTTCTCTTTAAATTAAGGAATGAAAGAAAAAAATATAATAAGAATAAGAAATTCAAATAATTATGATTAAAGAAGTCAAAAATAATTTATGTATGAAAAAAATTAAAATATACCTTGAACTTTTATAGAAGAATCATATATACCACTAAATAATTTTTTTTAAAAAATTATAAGTAATAAATATAAATTTAAAACTAATTATTTAAAATTCCGTTAAATGAAGGGTATATGTGAGCCATTTTGTAACGGCAGGGGTATATATGAGCCGTTTGTATAACGGTTAGGGTATATATGAACCACTTTTATAACGAGGGGTGTATCAGCTCTACATTACAAAGTTGAGGGATATATTAAACCCTTTTTCCATATTTTAAAATAGAGTTTTTTTAAATTTCTTTCTTAATCTAAAATATTTTAAAATAGAGCTTTTTATTATTTACTTTTTAAATCTAAATAATAGTTAATAAATCTATTATTAGAAATAACTAAAAATTAATATTATTTGATAAAATAATTCTTAATTAGATACACTTGAAAAAAATCAAAAATTTTAGAAGCGGATAAGAATTTTAATTGATTTGATTTTGTTTTCTTTTTAAAAAATAATAAAACTTATATTTTTAATTTAAAATTAAATTTAAGTTAAATTTTTAAACAATCCTGAAATATTATATAAAACAACTAAAAAGCAAAAAAGGCTGCATATATTATTATTATTATTATTATTATTATTATTATTAAAAGTAAAAATAATATATTTTGTAATTTGCATTAACTATAATCTAGACGTATTTTTTTTTCCGCGTTTCTGAAAACTATAAATAAAGGTAGCCGCTAAGTTTACAACTCACAAGCGTAACATAGACTACTCCGTGTCACTGCTCTCCGGTGACGATGGCCGATCAAGATCAATTTTCCGATCTTGATATTCTTCCATCCGACAACATGAGTTTATTGGAATTCATGCATGCTGTCGATGGCCGATCAAGATCAAGAATTCTCCACTGGATTGCTGTCCCAGTGACGATTCCGATCAAAACCCTAAACCCCAAATCTTGGAATCCCCGATGATTCCGGTAGAATTTCGAGAACTTAATTACCCAGATTAACTTTTAATTGTCGTCTTTTTGAAGTTAAATTGGAATTCTTTATTTTAGAAAAATCAAGAACTTGTCTTTTTAACGCATATTTTAGGATCTTCAAGAAATCTTTTCTTATATTCTAGCCGTGTGTGTTAAGTTTGTTCAAGAAACTGTTTTTACTTTTTTAAGGGACATTAAGCGAATGCCTGAGGCTATTTGGAGTTCAGTGCGTCTTCAACAGTTTTATGCTGGTGCCACAAAGTTATTGACGTGGAGTTGTTCTTGAACCCACTCGCACAACTCTAATTATAAGAAGTGATTAGTAGTATTTTGGATCAATTAGTTTAATGATAAGACATACAGACTTCGTAATCGCCCTCACTGACTATCTTTCTTTACATGGTCTAGACTTTTCGACTTTGATTGTTTCTGATTTTGTTAATGTTTTCATTTGAGAGTCAGTAAAAGTCTGCTAAGAACATGATATAATTAAGTGACTAACGGTGTCAAGTCGCGCCTTCATGCAGTTTTAATCATTTAGACTGATTGCATCTGTGAATTTGTCTGTGGCTTGCACAAAAGGCTGTGACGGGTGGGACTTTTGTGCGTATTCTAAATTATTTTTTTCCGTGTGTATTTACAAATGTTTTCATTTTGAAAGCTATAAATGACACTGCCTATCTTCACACGCTACCTCTTCTGATTACAAATTAAGCTACTGGTGCAGTATATAACTTCATGCGCTACTGACGCGCATTGTAGAACTTCATATGCTATTTTCCTTTACACGGTCTAAGACTGTTTGACTTTGATTATTTCTTAAAAATGGAAAAGTGTGCCACCTAAGAAATAGGGAATTTTATTTGGTTCATCTTTTTTGATTTTGTAAATGTTTTGAGGATTAGTAGAGGTGGGCTGCTGAGAACATCACACACTTTCAATTGTTTAGACTAATTCCACCTGTGAATTTGTGTGTTGCTTGCACAGAAGGCATTGACCAGTGAGGCTCTTCAACGAATTCTTATGTTCCTCTGTTTGCTGCTTCCTTATAGGGCTGTTCTTGTGTTTGTTGTTCTTATAAGTAGTGTGCTCCTTGTTTGAACTTTAACCCAGTTTCCACTTTCCACTCTCCACCAGGTATCTGTTGCTATAGGCATTGGGACCTGCTGTGTTAAGGTGGTATCAGTTCCTTTCCCACCCCTCACTTGACCACCCTTTTCATGAATAACTCATGCACTCCCTCTTTTGTTAATTTTTGTACTCACTCTACTCGGTTTTATACACAATGAAGATTAGAGGTTTTCATATGTCGATGTTCAATCAAACATGTTGCTTGTCCAGCTAAAGAATTGTTGGTTTGGCACGGCACTTCATGTTTTGGTTCTATGAGATTTTTTGAGATATTTCATGTTTTGGTCTTCCTTTTCTGTCTCATAGGCAAACTGATGCTTGCAGCCATGCTGGGTTTCAAAGCTTTTGAGCAAATCATGCTTGGGCGTCGCAGAGTTCAATTTTTTTGTTGGTAAAATCACCCTTTTGTGAAACTACAGGATCTTCTACTTTTCTTGTTCTTTTATTACTCTCTCTTGTATAACTCAAAAAAAGCAACTTAGCATGTTCTCTTTGAGCTGAACAACTGTTGATTGGCATGGCAGCTCAGGTGGGTATATGAGATTTAGGAGAAACTTACATTTTATGGTGCGTTTTCTGTCTCATAAGGCTTAATGATGCTTGCAGCCATGACAGACCGATGTTTGCAGTCATTCTGGGTGTCAAAGCTTTTGAGCTAATCATGTTTGGTTGTTGCAAGTTCAATATTTTTGTCGCTAAATCATCCTTTTTGTGAAACTTCACGACCATCTTCTTTCTTGTTCTTATTAATCTCTCTTGTATAACTCAAACAAGGCAATTAAAATCTCTCTTGAGCTGAAATACTGTTGCTTGGCATGGAACCTCAGGTTGGAATATGAGATTTAGGAGAAAGTTCCATTTCATGGTGCATCTTCTCTGTATCATGATGCTTGTAGCCACGAACAGATTCAAAAGTTTTTGAGTTGGTTCGTGTTTCGGCTTAAAAATTCAGTTTCCTTCCCACCCTTCCCAAACCACCATTTTCATGAAATTAAACATGACCTTCCTTCTTTTTTTTTTTTTTAATTACTCTCACTGCTCCGGTTATTAAACCATGAGGATGTGGAGGTTTTGCCTTCTGGGGAGTTCAATATTTCTTGTTGCTCTCCAGGTGGGTCTATCAAATTGGAATTAAATTTCCATCTCATGGTGTTTCTTGTCCATCTCACACGACTGATTGATGCTTGTAGCCACGACAGATTTCAATTCTTCTGAGCTCATCGTGTTTTGGATTTATAGAGTTCAGTTTTGTTTCTTTCGCCAGACCACTATTTTGGTGAAATCACACACGACCTTCCATTTTTCTTATTTTTAGTGCTCTTTCCAATTTAACTCAAAAGGGCAATCAAACCTGTTCACTCTTGAGCTGAAAAACTGTTTTTTGGCATGGCATCTTATGTGGGTCTCTGAGATTTTTTAAGAAGTACCATTTCTTGGTGTTTTTTCTCAGTCTCTCAAGGCTAACTAATGCTTGCAGCCATGACATGTTTCTAAGCTTTTGGGCTGATTCGTGTTTTGGGTTGAGTTTCTTACCCACCCCTCAGTTGAACCACCCTTTTTGTGATATTACACATGCACTTTCTCTTTTCTTGTTCTTTATACTCACTCTGCTCCGTTTATACACAATGAGGTTTTGGAGGTTTTTATCCATGGATGTTCAATTAAACATGTCTCATGTCAAACTAAAGAACTTTTGCTTGGCACGACACTTCAGGTGGGTCTATGAGATTTTGGGAAATGTTCCACTTATTGGTCTTTCTTCTCTGTCTCATAGGAAAACTAGTGCTTGCTGCCATGCCTGGGTTTCGAAGCTTTTGAGCTAATCATGTTTGGCATTGCAAAGTTCAATTGTTTTGTCACTATATCATCCCTTTGGTGAAACTACATGACCTTCTACTTTTTTTGTTCTTATTACTCATGTAAAATTCAAAAAAAAAAAAAGCAGCAATATAACGAGTTCTTTCTTGAGCAGAAAAACTGTTGCTTGGCATGGCATCATTGGTGGGTATATGAGATTTAGGAGCAAGTTCCACTCATAAGGCTTACTGATGCTTGCAGCCAAGACAGATTTCAATGTTTTTGAGTTAATTCGTTTTTTGGCTTGGCAAAGTTCAATTTCCTTTCCCCCTTACCCAAATCACCCTTTCCGTGGAATTACACATGAGCTTCTCTGTTTGTTATTCTTATAACTCTTTCTCCTCTGTTGATAAACCATGTTAAGAAACCAAGAGGAAGTGGAGGTTTTTTCTTTTGTGCAATTTCAATAGAACTTGTTTTCTCTCAAGGTGATTAAACTGTTGCTTGGTAGTAGGTACGACACCTCAGGTGGGTCTATGAGATTTTGGAATTATATTTCTATTTCATGGTGTTTATTCTTCATCTCACTTGACTAGACAATGCTTGTAGCCACGACAGATTTCAATGTTTTTGTTCTAACTGTGTTTTGGCTTCGCATGCTCAGTTTTTTTCTCTCACAAACCTCCCTTCTGGTTATATTACGCATGACCTTCCATTTATTTTAGTACTCTCCCCGTATAACTCAAAATGGCAATCAATCAAACATGTTCTCTCTTGAGCTGAATAACTGTTGCTTGGCTTGGCATCTCATGTGGGTTTGCGTGATTATGGGGAAAGTTTCATGTCATTGTGTACTTTTCTCTGTCTCACAAGGTTAACTAATGCTTGCAGCCCTGACAGGTTTCTAAGCTTTTGAGCTGATTCATGTTTCTTTCCCACCCATCACCTAACCATTGTATTCAATCAAACATGTTGTTTGTCGAGCTAAAGAACTGTCGCTTGGCACAACACTTCCAGTGGATCTGTGAGATTTTCGTATAAATTTCATTTTTTGTTCTTTCTTCTGTGCCTCATAGACAAACTGATGCTAGCAGCAATTTTTGGTTTCAAAGCTTTTGAGCTAATCGCGTTTGGACGTCTTTAAAGTTCAATCTTTTTGTCGGCAAATTAACCTTTTTGTGTAATTGCACGACCTTCTACTTTTCTTGTTCTTATTAGTCTCTCTTGTATAACATGTTCTCTCTGAGCTAAAATTTGATGTTTGGCATGACACCTTAGGTGGGTATATGAGATTTAGGAAAAGTTTCATTTCATGGTGCATCTTCTCTGACTCATAAAGCTAACTGTTGCTTGCAACCATGAAAGATTTCAAAGATTTTCAGTTGATTCGTGTTTTGGCTTGGCAAAGTTCAGTTTCCTTTCACCCCTCCCCAAACCATCCTTTTTGTGAAATTGCACATGACTTTCCTCTTTTCTTATTCTTATTATTCTTTCTGCTCAGTTTGTATATCACGAGGATGTGGAGGTTTTGTCTTCCCTGGAAGTTCAGTTAAACTTGTTTTCTCTCGAGCTGATGAAACTGTTGCTTGTCACGACACCTCAGGTGGGTCTATGAGATTTTGGAATTAAATTTCCATTTCATGGTGTTATTTCTCCATCTCATACTGTTAACTTATTTGTTTATGATTTTTGGACTACCAGGAAAAGGTAAAAGAATATGTAGGTCCCTTGAAGATGAAAGAGAATATTTGAAGTTTATGCCTTTTCACATTTCATATTGTTTCTTACTTCATTTTTTTCCTTTTAATCGTGGATCCTTATTTTTGTTCTCAATGAACTCAAAAATGCTCTTTGCATGCAATACAAGCAATCAACTTGAATAATGTAAGCTTTTAGCTCAATGCTGTTGACCTTTTAGCTAAGTGCTGTCTTTATTGAGTTATAAAGTTTTGGAAGTCATTTAGGTTCTGGACTGTGATTTTCTTGAGCCTAAGGTCTTTATCTTGGTGAGGCAACCCGGTAAGGCATCTCCGTTGGGAAACCGAGGTCTGCTGCCATTGGGGGTGCTTTGTCTCCTTTTTGCCTGGTTTAATCTGAGCCTTAGAAAGAATCGGCCGAATGACGCTTGAAGTCTTGTGAATTCCCTTTTGTTAGGTTAGCCTAAAAAGGCAAGAATGAGGCAGCAGAGAGCATGGTATTTCTATCAAGATTGGTTGCCCCTCTCTCTCTATGCTTCGCCTATGATTCTCCATTTTTTGAAACAGACCAATAGCCCTTAAAAGAGAGACAGAGAGAGTGCACTTGAGTTTCTGGGTTTCTTTGCATTTTGGCACCCTTGGACGTATGCTCATATGGGCCATACACAACTATACTACAACAAGATGACTATTTAAATTATTAAAGAGGCAGTGAAGATTTCTCGGTTAACGGGCAGTGAGATTATCCAACCCCGTATCTTGGCGCGGCAACCCGGTATGGCCTGTAATTGAGACGCATAACTCACACATGCAATCATGTATGGTTGGTTTCTATTTAGCCTTATCAATTATCGTAACACAAAATCTGAGCCTCAATTTGCTAAAGAAAAAAAAAAGGGAAAGGGTCAAATTTACACCTTTACTATGCATAAGTTGCAATATCTTTTCCATGATTAATGTGGGAGATATTGAACCCACACCCTTCTGATTTGCCGTTTTAATGCTTTTCATTCGTAGTGTATCTCCATATTTTGTTCTTGAAGGCCCCACTAGCACAATGGCAAAAAAAATTAAGTAGTTTAATTGTAAGAAAAGTTGTGATTTGTAGTACTTTGGATGTAGACCTCAATTGGACATACTTTCGTCAACGCACTCGGTGGTCATTTTCCTTTACATGGTCTTGATTTTTTTATTGTTTCTTAAAAGTTGAAATTGTGACTTGTAAGAGAAAGGTGAATTGGGACCTGCTGTGGACTGTGGTAAGGTGGATGACAATGGTAAGTATTACTTTCTTTGACATTGATCTAATGCACTTTAATGTGCAGTTTCTGGTCAATTTATGATATATTAGTTCATTATCTGACATTGTACCTTCTTTTGAAGGATCATCTGATGTTAACTTTCTTTTGGAGGATCATCAAATGTTGTACCTTCTTTTGAAGGATCATCTGATGTTAACTTTCTTTTGGAGGATCATCAAATGTTGTACCTTCTTTTGAAGAATCATTTGAAGTTGTACCTTCTTTTGAAGGATCACCTGGAGTTGTACTTTCTTGTTGGACAACTTCTTGAGTCCCCTACAAAGGATCGGGGTAAGGTCTATCTACCAATGCTAGCTTTTAATTATAGGATAAGGCTGTGATGATGACAGATGAGGTTGTATAGACCTTCTGCTTTTCTTATTCTTATTACTCTCTCTGCTCCGTTTATAGACTATGAGGACGTGGAAGTTTTGCATTCTGTGGAAGTTCAATAAAACTTGTTTTCTCTCGAGCTAATCGAATCGTTGCTTGGCACTGCACCTCAGATGAACTACGAGATTTTAGAAATAAATTTCTATTTCATGGTGTTCCTTCACCAGCTCATTTGGCTAACTAATGCTTGAAGCCTTGACGGATTTCAATGCTTTTGAGCTTATTGTTTCATAAAGTTCATTTTTTTCCCTCATTAAACCACCCTTATGGTCAAAATACACATCACCTTCCATTTTTATCTTTTTAGTACCCTCTCCGGTATAACTAAAACTGGCAATTAAACATGTTCTGGCTTGAGCTGAAAAACTATTTCTTGGCATGGCATCTCATGTGGGTCTGTGAGATTTTGGAGAAAGTTCTGTTTCATGGTATTTTTTCTCTGTCCCACAAGGTTTACTAATGCTTGCAGCCATGACAGGTTTATAAGCTTTAAGGGTAACTTATGCGGCCAATACTTGGGTCGGGCATTGGAGCTACCCTTATCTTGGCGAGGCAACTCTATAAGGCATCTCCATTTTGCAACTGAGTTCTGCAGCCATTGCGGTTGCTTTGTCTTCTTTTGGCTAGTTTCATAACGAATTTGAGCCTTAGGATAAAGAATTGGCCTAGTGACGCTTGAAGTCTTGTGAATTTCCTCTGTTAGATTAGCCTATAAAGGCAAGAATGAGGCAGCAGAGACTATGGTATTTCTGTCAAGGTTGGTTGCCCTTCTCTCTTTGTTTTGCCTAAGATTCTCCATTTTTTAAAACAAACCAACAGCCCTTAAAAAAGAAAGAGAGTGAGAGAGTACACTTGAGTTCTTGCCTGCATTCTTCTTAAGAAAATTATGTTTTTAAGGAATTCAAAGAAATTATAGTTTTCAAGAATGTATTGGCATGGTACGAATTAAATGAAATTCGAGAAACCTTTAATCGTCCTTTTTGTGAGCCTAAGGAGAAAGAATTACTCATTTATTTTTCATCGTGTAATAATCCACATATTATTATTTACCAAATAGCAGTTTTTACATTATTATAACAACATAACTAATACTTCAACAAGTAATGTCTTCCTCTCTTATATTGCAATTTTGTGACACAACTGTAGAAAAAAAGACTGATATATAGAGTGCTTTATCATATGCTTCTTCACTTTGTGATGGTCTGGTGAAAGTGTATTTTTGTGTAGAAACTTAGGTCCATGTCGAAATTAATGTGCGTCCATTTTTACACAGTCAAGGATTATGATTTTTTTTGGCGTTTATCTTCGTTGAGCATTACAGTCATTATCATTTTCTTCAGCACGCTGAAGATGAGTGAATTCGTTTGGAAGAATTACGTGAGAAGGCAATGATTGTCTAAAAATTCATTGAAATGTCATTTTGACTTGGGAGTCTGTACTTTATTATATTATCAGGTCCTGTCTTGAAAAATCAGCACAAGAACCTGTCTTGATTCTGAGCAAGGATTGGTATCTTCATTTTGATAGTAGGTAACATTGGTTTGGAGTCTGGTGGGGAAGTTTTGGAACTCTTTGTGATAGGTAACATTGATTTTGATTTTTGAGTCTTTGACTACTCTTTTGCAGTTCATGCGTGAAATTGATTAGCAATTACTACTCAACTATGCTGATCAAATTCTAAATTAGGGTTGGGGGATCTGCAATAATCATTCTCAAGCTTCAAGATCATTTACCCGGTAAGCTACGATCTTTGTTTAGATTTTCATTTCACAAACCAGTCTATGGAACTTGCCATTTACCAGAAATTCCATTGCACTAAATTTTTCAATTTTCATTAAAGTTAAGCCTTACTTCGAGCATAAAGTTATATGTTTTGGTTAAAGAAGGAACTTAAATCTGATCCAGTGGCAGCCAACATCTGTCACACTTTTTCCGGTAACATTCTCTGCTGTCATAGTATACATTCAAAAAGTTAAGTACATGTAAACCATTTGCAGATCAGTCTTTGAAGGGAAAGGTATATAAGTACTGATTGTAGTTGTTAATGTAGGATTAGTTGCTCACCTACATTCTTGAACCTTTTACTACACTTTATAGCTTGTTCTCTTCAACCTTCATATTTTTCCTTCTGAAGGATCTATGCCTGTCTAAATGTGGAAAACAAAGCAAGACAATCACTTCTTCTCAGGCTAGTTATTCCTTTCTGAGGTGATAATAACAGTTTATATCAGTTCTGTGCTCCATCATGTTGAAAGCCAGAAGGGTTTAGGGCTTTCAAGTGTCATTTGTGTGCATTTTCTCATAAAGTCCATTGTATGTTAATTAGGTTGATTATTGCAGTAACTTATAAGGGAAGAGCTTTTTTGTTCCAGTACCATCATTAACAAGAAAAGGGTTGTTTTTTTGGTAATACAGGTTCTCTGTATTTTGTGCGTTAGTCTTACTGTTGTGGATCTGTGGATCTGTTAGAATTTATTCAACATGTTAGTCCATCGACACTAACTAGCTCTCATATTTTAATCCTTCATCTAACTCCAATCTTTCTCATGGAATATTTGCTCAAGTTCTTGTTTAAATGCCGTGTCAAGTACTCTGAAGAATTTATTTGCAACCCACAGCTTGCTGATACAGATGGATCATCAATAGTACTCCCATCAGTGAATATACAAGGCTTGCGGTGCAAGTTATTTTTTAATTTGTGAATTTGGAGCTATCATGATGCTCTCTCGCTTCCACCCAGTGCCATATATGAAAAATAGAGAACTGGGAATTATAATCTGAAGCTATTTAAGATATTTTTCTTTATTCTTGTTGCCTTCGTTTTCATTTTGTAATGGAACAATAACTCTGATATGGACAAAGTGGAACAGATACAGAGGAATGAGATTTAGGAGAAAGTTCCATTTCGTTGTCTGCATCTTCTCTGTCTCATAAAGCTAACTAATGCTTGCAGCCATGACAGATCTCAAAGCTTTTGAGTTCTTCGTGTTTTGGCTTGGCAAAGACCAATATCCTTACCCCCTTCCCCAGACCACCCTTTTCGTGAAATTACATGATTTTCCACTTTTTTTATTCTTTTATTACTCTTTCTGCTTAGTTTATGAATAATGGGGATATGGAAGTTCAATACTACTTGTTTTCTCTCGAACTGATTGAATCACTGATCGAAGAGCGAGCAGCAGCCATGTTTAGTGAAATTACATATCACCTTCCATTTTTCTTATTTTTAGTACTATCTCTGGTATAACTCAAAATGGCAAATCAAACATGTTCTCTATTGAGCTGTAAAATTGTTGTTTGGCATGACATCTCATGTGGATTTCTGAGATTTTGGAGAAAGTTCCATTCCCTGGTGTTTTTATCTTTGTCTCACATGGCTAACTAATGCTTGCAGTCCTGATAGGTTTCTAAGCTTTAGAGCTGATTTGTGTATTATGTTGATTTTCTTTCTCACCCCTCACCGAACCACCCTTCGTGATATTGCACATGCACTCTCTCTTTTCTTATTCCTAGTGTTGACTTTTCTCTTTTCTTGGTAATCACAAATACAAATTTTAAGGAAATCAAGAATTCTTGCATGAATGCTTGATAAAAGAAATTCAAGAACTTTTTGGCGAAATATAAGGAAATCAAAGAAATCGTAGTTTTCAAGAATACATTGGCATTGCACATCATAAAGGAAATTCAAGAAATCTTTTTTTTAAAAATAAATTATGTTGTTATTCTTGTAATGAGTGTTAAGGATGTCCAAGAATTTGTTTTTACCTTTTTAGTGAGATTGAGAGCATTAAGCGAATGCCTCAGGCTATTTGGAGCTTAACCCAGTTTCCAACAGGTATGTATTACTTGTGCAGTAAGTTTTGTTCAATTTAATATATATTACTTCACATATGAAGTTGTACTTTGTTTTGAAGGATCATCTCAAGTTGTACTGTCTTTTGAAGAATCATCTGATGCTTACTTTCTTTTGATGGATCATCTGATGATGAATTTTTTTTGAAGGATCATCTGAAGTTGTACTTTCTTGTCGGGCAACTTCTCGAGTCCCCACAAAGGACAAGGGTAAGGATCCACCAATGTTAGCTTTTAATTATAGAATAAGGCTGTGATGATGACAAATGAAGTTGTATAAGGTTGGATCTGGAAATGGAGCTACCCTTATCTTGGGGAGGCAACCCATTAAGGCATCTCCGTTTTGCAACCGAGGTCTGCAGCTATTGCTGTTGTTTTGTCTCCTTTTGCCTGGTTTTATAACAAATTTGAGCCTTCGGAGAAAGAATTGGCTGAAAGACACTTGAAGTCTTGTGAATTCCCTTTTGTTAGGTTAGCCTAAAAAGGCAAGAATGATGCAGCAGAGCGCATGAGATTCTATCAAGGGTGTTTTCCTTCTCCCTAAACTTTTCCTATGATTTTACATTTTTTAATACAAATGGACAGCCCTTAAAAAAGAAAGAGATACAGAGAATACACTTGAGTTTCTGTGTTTCATTGCATTTTTGCATTCTTAGACGTATGCTCATAAGGCAATACACACAACTATACTACAACAGCTTGACTATGAAAATTATTAAAGAGGCAGTGATGATTTTTGGGCAAACTAAATTTGGGCATTGAGATTACTCAACCCGTATCATTGCGGGGAAACCTGCTATGGCCTGTAATCGAGACATAAATCACACATGCAATCATGTATTGCTGCCATGGCGTGGTATGCTTCTCTTTGGCCTTGCCATAACACAAATCTGAGCCTCAATTTGCTAAAGAGAAGGGAAAAGGGTCAAATTTACCTTTTTATATGCACAAGGGGAAATATTATTTCCATGATTAATGTGGGAGATATTGAACCCAGACACGTCCTTCTGATTTGCAATTTTGATGCTTTTCATTCGTGATGTGTCTCCATCTTTTGATAAGTACCAGCTCAAGAATGAGGCATTTGAACGAAATGTTGGATTATTGAGGGGTGGTTGCCTCCCTCCCTGATTCTATTTTTGAAGTTTTGCATTTTTATGCATCTTTTATTGCTTCAACTTTTATATTCCTCCCACTGATGGATATATGTCTGCCTAAATGTGGAAAAAAACATGACAACACTTCTTCTCAGGCTGGTTATTCCATTTTAAGGTATCAATAACACTGGTTATATCAGTTCTCTGTTCCATCTTGTTGATGAAACCAAGAAGGATTTTTGAGGGTTTAACCCTTTGAAGTGTCATTGTTGTCTAATGTCTCTTAAGGTCCAATTTATGTTTTATTTGGGTTGATTATAGACAGTGAATTGTGAATTGTACTTATAAGGGAAGAGCTTTTTTGTTGTGAATTATGAATTGTAACTTATAAGGGAAGAGCTTTTTTGTTCAAACATTCAAATGAGAGGCTCTGATATCTATTTTTGATGTTTCTTTGTTGGAAATTGCTACTAATACTCATTGGAGGCCAAACGGACATTGTAAGATTTTGAAGGTTATAAAGTTCTTTGAGTTTTAGTTTTGGTAGTATTCATTAAGATAGCTTTCAAACAACAAACCTAGTCTTTGTTCTTGCCATTGTTTACAGGACGGCAAGTGTTTGTACCTTGGAATTTGATGATTGTACAAAATATGTTGGCACACCAGGTAATTCTGTATAAGCATACCTGATACGTTGCAGGTTTTGTCTTCTGAGGAAGTTCAATAATTCTTGTTTTCTTTGGAGCTAATCAAATGATGCTTGACACCACTCGTTCGGTGGGTCTATGAGAGTTTGGAATTAAATTTTTATTTCATGGTGTTTCTTCTCCATCTAGCACGGCTAATTGATGCTTGTAGCCACGACAAATTTCAATGTTTCTGAGCTCATTGTGATTTGGCTTTGCACAGCTCAACTTTTTTCACTCGCCTAACCACCTTTTTGATGAAATTGCACGACCTTCCATTTTCCATATTTTTAGTAATCTTTTCGGTATAACTCAAAAGGACAATCAAACCTGTTCTCTCTTGAGCTGAATAGACGTCGCTTCGCATGTCATTTCATGTGGGTACGTGATATTTTTGAAGAAGTACCATTCATTGGTGTTTTTTCTTTCTCTCGAAGCTAACTAATGCTTGCAGCCATGACATGTTTCTAAGCTTTTGAGCTGATTCGTGTTTTGAGGTGAGTTTCTTTCCCATCTCTCACCGAACCACATTTTTCTTGCTATTATTCCTTACTCTACTCTGTTCAATACACAATGAGGATTTGGAGGTTTTCATCTATTGATGTTCAATCAAACATGTCTCGTGTCGAACTAAGGAACTGTTGCTTGGCACGGCACTTCAGGCGGGTCTATGAGATTTTGGGAAATGTTCCTTTTTGTTGGTCTTTCTTCTCTGTCTCATAGGCGCACTGGTGCTTGCAGCCAAGCTGGGTTTCGAAGCATTTGAGCTAATGATGTTTAGGCGTCGCAAAATTCAATTTATTGTCTGTAGATCACCCTTTTTGAGAAATTACACGACCTACTTTTCTTGTTCATATATTACTCTCTCTTGTGTAACTCCAAAAAGCAATTCAGCATGTTCTCTTTTGAGCTGTAAATCTGTTGATTGGTGTCAGCTCAGGGGGGAGATCAGATTTAAGAGAAGGTTCCAGTTCATGGTGCATCTTCTCTGTCTCGTGAGACTGTCTGACCACCTCAACAGAGTCCTTCACTGGTCGGCTCTTAAGATGCCCAATTATAGCCTTCTTTTTAGAAAAAGATTTAGAACTTGGTATCAGGTAAGAAACCTAAACACATTTTTCCCTTTTCTTATCTGCTTGAAAATTCTTGCAAGCCTTTTTTAGAAAAATCAAGAACTTTGCTTTTTGAAGTTACGTTGGTATTCAAAAATACATATATTTTCAGAAAATCAAGAATTTTTGCATGAATGCTTTTTGAAAAAGTTCTTGAACTTGTTGGCATATTTTAAGGAAATTGTAGTTTTCAAGAATATATTGGCATTGCACATACAAGAAATCTTTTTTGAAAATATTATGTTGTTATTCTTGCAATGTGTGTTAAGGGTCAAGATTTTGTTTTTACCTTTTTAGTGAGATTGGTAGCATTACGTTGCTATTGGCATTGGTACCTGCTATGGTATGGTGGATGGCAATGTTAAGTATTAGTTTTTTCGACATTGATCTAATTCACTTTGATGTGCAGTAAGTTCTGTTCAATATATTATATATTATCATCTGCTATATTTTCTTTCATGGTCTCCTTTTTCTTTGTACCTGAATTTGTTGTACTTGTGTCAAGGGTCTTTCGAAAACAATCTCTTTTCCTACACGAGGTAATTTCTGTGTACATTCTCCCTCCTAAAGCCCACTTGTGGAATTTCATGGGGTATGTTGTTGTTGTTGTTAGTATGATGCTCCATTCTAATCATAATTTTTTTTCTTAATGAATGTTTCTGTATCACACCTCTCTCTGTTTTTTTTTTCATTAGATTTAGAGCTTGTTTGGATTGGCTTATTCTAGGTGCTTTTAAGCCTAAATAGCTTTTAATCCAACATAGCGAGGAGCTTTGATAATTCTTCTGACATTGAGAAGTGAAGTAGATCTCAGATAACCTAAAATGCCTAAGATCTTTATATGAATTGACTTTGGAGCCTTCCAAGACCTCTGAGGGATTTAAGGTGAGGTTTTTTATTGGCATTTATTGGAGTATTTAGTTGTTTTAGTGTTGCGTAACTTCTGACATTGGATTTGTTTTTGTAGAAATGAGTTTGTGTTGGTGCGTATTTTGTGAGAATTGATTTGGATCGTTTTCTGTGTAAAAATATTTGAAAACACCTATTCATTTTTTGAAACTTAAATGTGGGTTAAATAATAGGTTAAAACTGGCTAAACATCATTATTTATTACTAATTGAATAGGATTTTAAAGTATTAACAAGGACCTCCTGACAGAAATCCCCTTTGTGTCACAGCTGTTCACGATGAACAAAATAATCTCCCTTTTGTTATGGGAGAACCATGAAAATCACGTTTCTTGCTTCTATTGGTTGCAAAACACAACAGGCTGTTAACAAGGACATGTACATATTTGTAGCTTGATTGTTGTGTTGTATTTCTTATTATAATTTGTTTTTTCTCCTTACTAAATAATTCTTCTAGTTTGAATGAGCCTGATATTTGAGTGGGATCAAGGTAGTATTCTCAGGAGTTAAACTTGCAGGTCAATCTGAGCCATTTAATTAACAAGTAATTTTTTTTGTTATGCAGAATAGAGCCCTAATATGGTAGAGACAAGTATTAGAGAAGCACGGGTCCTCAATCCTGCCATATGGAATATGAATGTTGAAGAGAATAAGCTTATGGTGACTAGTTGATTCTTAATGTTACTTGTAAGATTGGGGCCCCATCCTTATCTTAATGAGGATACTATCGTGAATATCTGGACTGGAAGTAACTCTCGGTGAGAGCAATTGTACCTGACATTCTTATGCAACATCACTTTGATGTACTGTATTTGATGTTATTTGTACATGAGTCTTTAATCACTCAACATTCCCTTCCCTGTATGTTGTAGTCCCCGCCTGCCTCCCTAAAAGTAGGAGGGGGAACAAATTGTGGAAGGTTGGTTAGTGGAAGAGAGCTGAGAGTTACTTATGCATCAGATGTTGCAAAGCATTTCAGTGTTATGCCATCGTATAGTTTTATCACTTTCTTTTCTCTTTAGTTACTTTTGGAAAACCTAGATAAGAATGTAGTTGTTGAACTATCCTCCTCATCTATTGCTATCCCATTTCGTTCTCCTCTTTTCAGATATACCTGTGAATTATGAGATCAGGAAAAAGAGTTGCAGGCCCAGAGTTGCAAAGCGAAACTGAACTTTCTTCCCCGTAGACAAAGAAACCGACTGGATAGTGCGCTGTCAGGAGAGAGATTTGATCTTCACAGAATATTATGTGGGGAAGTGCTTCTGAAAAGCATGATCCCGAGTCCAAATTCCCCTTGTCAGATCAAAAGTTCAAGTCGGTCAATCGATGGCTCTCTTGCTCATTGCAGAGTCTCTGTGAATTGGATATCCAGAAGCTTTGTGCGACCCCTTTCATCTATACAGAGGATGATTTCCTGGATAAGAAATTCATTGCTTCAGATAGATCCAAACAGTTATAGCTTGCAGATCAAGCTTCATTTATGCGATCAGGGAGAGGTTGCTGCATTAGAGAAGGAAACCATTTATGCAATGCCCTATGCACAGAAGTCTGACCCCTGATGGATCATCCTTTGATAGTGATGAAGATATTAAGTTTGAAAAATGTACGTACAGAAATAAACAAAATCGCCTTGAAGATGATTAAGAGTGTTGAATTTGAAGTAGCTGATGATATTAACCATGTCTTGAATACAGGTCTCCTGAATTATCAGAAACTTCTCCAACTCAGATCAAGGTATTGCACCGGGACTGGGAGGCATAATAGTCGTGACACATGCAAGTTGACCTGAACATCACCCTCGGAATTTTTATTTTTTATTTTTTTGCAGAGAGAGAGAGAAGGCAGGTTTGGTTGATTTGCATCATAATTTCAGATTCCTGCTGCTCTGTTTGGTAGGATCAGCTTGTTCAGGTTTTTCTACTCTTTTTGCCTTTTGGCGATGTAGTTTCTACTTTCACGTTTTCCTGATTTAATCGGCTTTTGAGGAACTCTAACTGTGCTTAGGAGGTTGATGACCAACTTACAAAAAATTTATAATGAATTTTCATCGTACTTGTTGATGAAGTTCTAATTATATTCACCCAACGAATTGGAATTACACCCCGATTATTAAATGTGGTTTTGATCGATCGATTCGATGGGGAACTTATAGAGTACTTCATTTTGCTTTTAAGTGCTATATCGTGGACTCTTTGTTGACATTAAGAAGGGAAGAGCATAAACTCAATATGTTTCGTTAAATGGTAGCCTCTTCCAATATTTGCCTTCTCTCTTTTTCTTTGATCCTTTTTTCGATGTTGACAGTAGTAAAATCATCTTTCTCCCTCAAGAATTGGAGCTTGAGGTGCTGCTGCCACATTCCAACAATTACATTATCAAACTTCTTCAGAATCTTTGCATTCATAATCTAAATCAGAAGTACTCGAGTCTTGAACTATTGCTTATAATTCAAATATCTGATTTCAATTGTAGGTTTAATACATGGATATAGAAGCCAACCAACTGAAGAAAATTAAACGTGCGTGGCTGTGTTTGTTTGTAAAACATCACTTACAGTAGTATCTGATGGATGTTTTGGACACTACTTAGGTTATGGTATGGAGTACCAGAGGGGCTTTGCAGCTTTGTGGCGTTCTTTGAGGGATTCAGGGATGCACAATTTCATTTCTAGTATATTCATCTGTTCATTCCAATTGCCTATAACTCTTGTAAATATGCTTACAAATTTAAATTCTGTAGTTCCTTGACTTCAAATATGTTCTCTTTGAAGCATTATTTGAGATCAATAATCTCATTTGTTGAGTTTATCTTTATTTCTTCTTCAGATTGTAACTGTACCCGAAGAGCACGGAAACATCCACGTGGCAATACTATTTAGGTATACTGAATCTATTTAGTGCCTATTTTAATCTGCATTATCTTTTTAAAAATTGCAGGCTAACAATTTTGTGGGAAAAACACTTAACACTTGCTATGTTGATGGTAATATAGTTTAGTGCTTTTTAAGTCAATTGGATTAATTTGGGAGTGGAAACAAATCTCTACGAGGATAGAATGTTTGACCAAGGGAAATCAGATGTTAGGCACTGGCCTATTCAACAACAGGAAACAGAATGTCTTCAGCTAGACTACACTTATGTTGGGAGGGGGGAGATCAAGTGATGATCTCACTGCATATGGACTCATATCTGAATTTTTGAGGTGTTTTCCAGTTTTAGTGAGTTTATCTTCACTGATGAGTATCATCTTGTTCAGGTTTGTCTACTGTTTTTGCCTTTGCGATGTAGTTTCTAGTTCACGTTTTGATGATTTAATCGGCTTTTTTGGAACTCCAAATGTGCTTAGGAGGTTGATTACCAACTTTAAAATAGTCATATTATGATGAATCCTCATATTATTTGTCCCAACCAGAGTGAAATACACCTGACTTTTAAATGTGGTTTTGAACGATCGATTGGATGGAGAACTTTCGGAGTTCCTTTGTTTTGCTTTTAGGTGCTATCGTGGAATCTTAGCTGACATTAAGAAGGGAAGTAAACTCACTATATTCTGTTAAAGGTATCCTCTTCCAATATTTGCCTTTTCTATATTTCTTTGATCCTTTTTTCCTTGTTGACATCAGTAAAATCATCTTTACCCCTCTAGATTTGGAGCTTGAGGTGCTGCTGCAACGTGCTATCAATTACATTATCAAACTTCTTCAAAAAAATCTCCATATTTGCAAATTCTTTGCACTTATAGTTTAAATCGGAAGTACTCTTGAACTTGTAGCTTATTTTTCAAATATCTCATTCAAGTACCTTGACCCAGTAAAATTCTACAATGCTACACTAGTACGTTTATACATGGATAGAGAAGCCAACAAAATTATGAAGTTGAGGCTGTGTGTTTGAAAAATGTCATTAGTCATTACGCCTGTTGTGAAAAGTCTTTTGAGGTTCAACGTGCATGCATTTGAGAATTATTTGTTTATGAATTTTCAACTACCAGGAGAAGGAAAAAAAATATGCTGCTTGAAGATGAAAGAAAATATTTGAAGTTGATGTCCTCTTTTGTTTTTTCACATTTCATATTGTTTTTTTACTTCATTTTTTTCCTTTTAATTGTGGATCCTTGTTTTTGCTCTCACAGAACCCAAAAATGCTCTTTGCAAGAAATACAAGCAATCAACTTGAATAATGTAATCTTTTAGCTTAGTGCTGTTTAGCTCTAACGTACGATATTTCATTCCTCTGCAAAAGGAAGTTTATGTCTTTATCCCCAACACATTCACAGGGAAAAAGGGAAAGAGAAGAAGTAGAACCTCTCTTGATAAAAGAAAATGATACTCCATTCCGATGCACTGTATCAAAATCAGTCAATTTACTGCAAACAATTTGTTCTGATGTTACAGGTCAACTTACAGTTTACCGAGAATGCACTTCTAGTTATTGTTGAGGAAGGCATTGCCAAAAGCACTGGTGCACAAGGCTCAAGATGTATACTAGAAATTATTGTGACTGAAGCCATGTTTGAGGTATTGCATGGCAGCACAGCTTCTTGTGTTTGGCGTTAATTCTGGAAGAGCTTGGAAAAATATTTCACTTATTTTACTCTTTATCACATTGAGGCTACTAAAGGGAGGAGATATCACCATTTATTTGAGAGTTTGAACTACCTGCTTTTGAGTGTTACTTCCAAAATTTTACTTGAGCACCCCATGAGTGTTGAAATAGCTATTTTTTGAAGAACTTAGCCTAAAATGAAACTAAACATGACTTATACCTGCCTTTCGAAATGTGCCTAAATATTGGTTTCAAAGGCTCGTATTCATTGTCAAGCATGGTTTCTCTTTTGTAATCTGGTTCACTTTTGCACTATCAGCAGCACAGTTATTCAATTATAAACTTTTGGTGTTCATGTTTGTTTGCAGGCTGCTGACTTAAATGTCGAAGCAACTCAGCAAGGGGTTGTCTACATAGATGAAGTTGATGAATAGCCAAAAAGTTCAAAAATTATTATCTACATGGATATGGATAATCGCCTTCGAAGTCATCCTTATAATTAGTCACCTGTTTAGGCTGAGAGCCTTAACATTTGCAGAGATGTATCTCAGGAGGATGTCCAACAGGCGCTGCTGAAGATGTTTGAAGGAACTGTGGGTATTTATTGCAAATTATTTCTTCTGTTCTTTCCAATTGCCTATTACTCGTGTAAACATTTTTACAAGTTCATAGTTGTAGTTCCTTGACTTCAATTGTGTTCTCTTTCAAAGTATTTTTCGGAGATCAATAATCTCACTTGCTGAGTTTATCTTTATTTCTTCTTCAGATTGTAAGTGTACCTGACAATAGAGCATGGAAGCTTCCACGTGGCGATACTACTCAGGTATACTGAATCTATTATAACCTTTTTATCTAATTTTTCTTTTTAAAAAAAATGCAGGCAAACAATTTTGTTAGAAAAATACTTACCACTTGCTATTTGGATGGTAATATAGTTTAGTGCTTTTCATTATCAAAAAAAATATAGTTTAGTGCTTTTTAGAATCAATTAGATTAAGTTGGGGGGTGGAAGACAATTTCTAAGGGAAGAATGTTTGGCCAAGGAAAATCAGATGTCAGACACAGACACTGACCTATTCAACAAACAAGAAACAACACGTCTTCAGCTAAACTATATGTTGGGAGTGGGAAGTCAAGTCAAATACTGGTTTATATTCCTTGTAACAATTATCTACCAAGGCTGTGAAGTTGTACTCGTGCTGTTCCTGTCTTGGGACTGGGAGCTTCTTATTGACCCTACTAAAATGGTTGTAGTCTTTTTCATATTATAGATCTTGTTGCATAATCAAACATCGGCCTGCCAAATATTTCATTTTCCTTCTTAAATGGTCTAACCTTTTCCCATTTGTTGTTTCTTGTGTTGTTCCTGTTTTGGGGCTAAGATCTTCTTGTTCAATAGCTCTTCGCTGTTGTTTGTAGATGCCGACTGCTCTTTATATTTTTCCATCCATTAATCTGCAGATAGCTAAAGCTATCATTTTTACATGTGCTGGAGCTTTTTTTGGTTTAGAGAAGACAATTCAGAAAGGTTATTTGTCAAACTCAACTAATTTCATGAAACACTTTGAGATCAAGTGATTCAATATGGTTCAACTTATCATTCCTTTACTCCGAGACGGCAAAATCCTTTAATTGGATTCTGAGCACCTGTTCGAACTAACATGTGAGTTGGTGGTCTAACTGATGTTGTAGTTACTTCATCACTATTGGAATCTTTGAGGAAATCCTTGTAACTTGAGCTTACTTTTCTTTTCCGGATCACTATAATTTAATGATTTCATGACTCTTTGTTCTCGTGAAATTCTAAAAACCAAATGCATCGAAAGCATTTGTTTCATATTGCTTTCACTTTCTAGGTAGAAAGTGATGATTTCATTGTGTATGGACTTATACCTGAATTTGTGGCACGGCTTCCAGATTTAGTGAGTTGTATTCCCTATATAAGGATTAGCTTGTACAGGTTTGTCTACTCTTTTCACCTTTTGGCGATGTAGTTTCTAGTTTCATGTTTTCCTGGTTTAATTGGCTATTTGGGAACACCAACTATGCTTAGGAGGCTGATAGTATTTTTTTTTATTTTTCCTAAAATATATGAAGATTAATAATCAGCGGATCCCTTGCCTTAGACAAAAACCGAATAAGGTAATTAACAAGCCCATTAATAAATGCCACACTCTCATGCAGGATCTGGACAAAGTTTTTGGCCAAAGTCAATGGCAAAATTTGTGCCCTTGACAAGGACTATGAAAAGTGATTTGGTGAATGAACTACAGACCCTCTTAAGGTAGAAACAGCAAACATTAAAGAGAACAAATCAATAGCCTATTCCACTTCAGAGCTTGATCTGGAAAATATTAAGAAACTGATTAGCAAATATGGAGTACCTGAAAATGCAGGAGGAAACCAACTCAGAAATAACCAAGGGCTTTCCTTCTGCATTGTCAAGTACTCCATATTTGCTGATCAATTTCTTAATATCTTTTCCTGATCAAGCTCTGAAGTGGAATAGGCTAGACCTGCTCTCTCTAATCTTTGCAGTTTCAACCCGAGGACGGTCCCTTGTTCATTAACCAAATCACTTTTCATAGTCATTGTCAAGGGCGCAAATTTTTCCATTGGCTTTGGCCCAAAACTTTCTCCAAATCCTGCATGGGGAGCTTGACATTGAGCTTGACATTCATTAATGGGCTTGTTAATTACCTTATCCGATTTTGTCGAGGACAAGGAACCAGTAGATCCACTTGCCTAGACATGGCAGCATTGAGAGAAACAACAGTTGCTGCTTTGGTAGCCATGCCATATTCCTTCATCTGCTTTGGTATTTCTTGTAGGTTGAGGAGAAGCCTAACCAATATGTTGGTATCAACCAGACTACCTTGCTCTTGACTTTTTGCAAGAGCAGCTGCAGTTGTGGCTATAGAAACTGTCAAACCATGTGTAGATTCTTCTATAGGAATTGTTCTGACTATTGGAGTTTTGCTATCATCATAACCTTGTTCCAGGTCAGACACATTGTAAGGACTGTTAAATAAGAAAAATAACAGATTAAAACCAAGTAAAATTAAGACAACAAAAGCTACAAAACATAAAAAATAATCCAAAAATTACTTACTTTGGAGGAATTGCAGACCGATCAGGGAAAACCGCCGGAATCACCCTCATTTTCGTATCCTCCTATTGGCTTTTTTGCTTTCTTCACCAGCAATCATTAGTCATTTCTCATTCAAATGGAATTACAAATAACAACAACAAATTCTCTTGGTGGCGGATCTAGGGTTAGGGTTTTTGTGAACACTTTAAGTATCCATGGCCAAGCCGACAGATCTAGGGTATCATGTAAGCGAATTTGGGAACAATTTAAGTATGAATGGCAAGTCAATGGATCTAGGTATTGAGTAAGGGTTCTCAAGAACAATTTAAGCATGGCCAAGTTGGCGGATTTAGGGTATTGGGTTGGGGTTGTCATGAACAATTTAAGCATGAATGGCCAAGTCGACGAATCTAGGCTACTGGGTTATGATTTTCAGGGCTAAGCATGCGGATCTACGCTATCCATCTGTTGCTATCGGGATTCACATAAGGTAAAACCCCAATTCGCCACGCTTATGTAATAACTAACAAATTACAGAAGGAAAAATCACATAGACGACACACAAGGTACCACTCCGCCGCTCTTATATAATAACTCACAAATCACACAAATGGCACACAAATTAAAACCTCGCTCCGCCGCTCTTATGTATTAATTCACAATTCACACAAAGTTGGCTTGTACTAAGCAAGCCGAGGTTAGGGTTTTGAGTAAGATTTTTGCTCAAACGTTACATTTCTTTTTTATATAGAAGAGCCATGCTGAGGACGACCAAGGGTAAATTTGTCATTTGATAAATATTTTAGAATGTTTATTTTTATGTTATGACATCAAAAAAGTTGTAATAGATTTTTAATAACAATACAACCAAATATCTTTTCTTAAATGTCATGTGCATCCTCACGCAATTAATTTGGAAACAAATTTTCTATAGATTTTTTCTTTTTTGGGTAGTGTGATATTTTCATTAAACCACAAATATCTATTAAACAATGGTTTTTTAGTAATTTTAATATTATTTAAAGGCAAAATAATAATTTTATAATTAATGATCAAAATGAAAATTTATAAGAATTCATATATGTCATTACTTTTAAAATTGGCCCATAAAGATATTTTTATAATTGTTTCAAAATGAAGAGTTTCTATTAATTAGCATTTTACAAACAATAATAAATGCTAAGCTTGTTTTGACATGTTTTTGAAAGAAAATTTTGAACTACTTTAAAATAAAATGTGTTTGAATAGTTAATATTTTGTTCCTATAAATACTTCAAAGAATTATTGCATAAATATATTTTTAATATTTGTTTCAAATATGTTCGCTAAATTCATATCTTGATTATTAAAATCATCTTTAAAATGACGTATCAATATTTTTCTAATTAATTTACTTTTTAAAAACAATAGTGATTCTAAGCTTGTTTTGACATATTTTTGTAAGAAAATATTGAACAAATTTAAAATAAAATGTGTTGAATAGTTAATATTTTGTTCCTAAAAAAACATTAAAAAATTATTGCGTAAATGTATTTTTAATATTTGTTACAAGAAAAAATATCACTAAATTCGTATCTTGATTATTGAAATAATCTTTAAAATGACGTATCAATATTTTTAATTATTTTGAAGAAATATAAAATTACATGACTAAAAGAACTAACAATGTTTGACTATTAAGAAATCAATGATTCGATAATGTATTTCATTAAAAGATTAAAAAATACAAAAGTTTTCATTTTTATATAATAAATATTTTTTAATATTAAATATGATAAACTATTTAATAGGGAAAATTTGACAAGAAAAAGAATTAATATTCAAATTCTAAGAAATATTTTAAAATACATAATAAAGGAATATGAGTAATAGAAAAATAAAAAAATAAAAAAATAAAAAAATAAAAAAATGAAAATCTCTATAGAAAAGGTCTTAGAGAAATATAAAGGAGGAAAAAAATTAAAATATGAATAATAACTTGAAAAAGAAAAATAAGTATATTGGTTATTACTTATCTTGTGCGGGTAAAATTCAAATATTCTTTTACAACATGATATAGAGTGTAGTATTAAATAAAATTATTAATATAATTTAGAACGTAAATTAATTCAATTGTTATCGTATATAGAAATAAAATTGCTTTTATTTTTGTGGAGTTGGAAATTAATATTTTAATAAATGTTTTCAATATTTAAAATATAACATTATAATAATTATAATTTTATATAGAAATAAATTTAATTTTATGATAGTATTTATTGTTGTGGAAGTTAGAAACCAAGTTTTTAATAAATACTTTTAATATTAATATCAAAATAAATAGAAGTATTTCTATTAACGAAGACAATAATGAAATGTATCACAAAATTCACCAACAAAGCAAATTATAAACACATCATTTGACATAGAACAAAATGGAAATGTCAAACAATAATTTATTTTACATTTGAAACGAAGGATTTAGTGTAAATTTGTTTCAACTTGACCTTATATACTTTCAATTCCATTCCCAATATAATTAAAAGAAAATTAATTTTAATCCCATTTAAATTGAATTGAATCAAAAGAATCACTTTCTGTCGCTCAAATCTAAACGTATTCAAATATTTTGTACGTTTTTTTTAGTTAGTAATACACTAATACCAACACAATATCCAAGTTCAAATAGGTGATCAAATTTGTGACAAATATCATAGAATCTACTCGCTCTTGTTCAAATTATCTCCTCATAGTGTTGCGTGAATTGACTCATATTTCATTTCCCAAGGAGATATTCTAAGTGTGTTAAAGACATGTCAAATTGGCATGCTTTCAGTTTTACTTATATAGAACATTCATATGCTTTAGTTTTTTTTCAAATATTTCCTTAATAAGTTTGTATAATTCTACCACTCAACAAGTAAAACAATATCGAAAAGAGGATGGCCCATCAAAAGTTGACAGCAGATCTCAACAACATACTTAATTAAAGCAGACACATCAAAGCATTAATAGATCATCGATCATATGAAAGAAGAGATTGCTTGAAGAAGTCAGAAGAGAGACTTTCTTCCAAATCTTTGGCTATATGAAAATGTCTTCGCAAGGTAATCTAAGTTTAGACGACAGAAATTGTTATGATAATCTCATTTGTTGTTATTAATTGTAGTTCCATTTGAATGATGACTAGTGGTTGTTGTAAATAAAGCAAAGAAGATCCGATGAGGTGCTAGGACTTTATGATAATAAGAGCAACAAGAGACTACAACTAAGTAAATTGATATAAAGAAGCGATAAAACCTAAGATATAGTTCAAAAATACCATACTTAAGAGGAATTGTAGACTAACAAGGATAAACCGTCTCAAGCACTTTCTTTCCCCTATGCTCCTTCACACCTCCTTCTTTACTTTCATCACCACCAACCACACGCCAATTATCATTCAAATCAAACTAGCAATAACGACATTAAATGGGCTGTTACGACAACATATTCATAAACTATGCATATAAAGACACTTTCTATCATCTAAAACCTAGATTACCTTGGGAGGATATTTCCACAGCCACAGATTTGCAAGTAAGCCTCTCTTTTGACTACATCAAACAACACCTTCTTTCGGATGATGATTTAATAATTTAATAGTACTTAAATGTGTCCGCATTAACTGAAGATGATACTGAGATTACCTACTGGTTTTTTATGCGCAATCCTCTTCTTAAACATGTATTTACCTGTTGAATACTAAAATATGCAAATTTGTTAAAGAGAAATCGAAATAAACTAAATCTTTGTTAGGATAGATTAGCAAGATATGTAAAAGGGGTTTCTTCCCTTTGTCTCCAAAACTAATCCGCTCTGCCCCATAACTATCAAAGCACACAGAGAAGGAATTTGCCATAAAACCTTTTGAGACACCGTACTAGGGACTGATATCTTCTCGATACCAAGCCCAAACAAACTGTTTGGTGTTGCAACATCTTGAAAAGAACCAGTTTGAGTCTATCCACTACTGCACAATTGAAATTGGCATGTATTAGAAATGAATTTGAACAGAAGCAGAAGAATTGCTCAGTTAATCGAATGTACTATTCATACAACACATCTAGTTAAAAATGCACTGTAACTTGACATCAACTAGGGAAAAAATAGTTCAGGATACATACTCAAAGATCATTTATGAGTTAGGACAGGACATCCCTGAGTCGAATTTGATCTACAAATCTAGAGCTGCAAAGTAGCTTGGCCTTGCATACTATAAGGCCGCGGCGGATCTAGGGTATAAAGTTAGGATTTTCAGCAATAACTTTTGCGCAAATCTTATATTTATACAGAGAAATCTATTAAATATACAATAAACTTTGTCCTTCCCCTGTTTTGCTTTTAAGTTTGTAATTATTGGGAATTCATAAATTGAACTAGAAAGGAATTCGTCGAAAATTTATATTGTATATATATAAGTAAAATGGTGTCCTAAACGACCACTTACCTTTGGACACCGCCCAATAGGCATGTATAGCCCAGTGGTTCTTCGGGCTGTTAAATTGCACAAGGGAGCTTAGGGATCGCAAGTTTGATCGTCACCAATAACATTTGTCCTTTTTGCCATTTTAATTTTTTGAAAATAGAGCTTTTTTTTAGTTACTTTTTAAATCTAAAATATTTTAAAATAGAGCTTTTTTTAGTTACGTTCTAAATCTAAATAATAGTTAATAAATTTATTTATTAGAAATAACTAAAAATTAATATTATTTGATAAAATAATCCTTAAATAGATACACTTGAAAAAAATCAAAAATTTAGAAGCCGATTAAAATTTTAATTGATTTGATTTTTTAAAAAAATAATAGAACTCATATTTTTAATTTAAGTTAAATTATTAAACAATCCTAATTTTTTTTCCGCGTACTTTTTTTCCGCGTTTCTGAAAACTATAAATAAAAGGTAGCCGCTAATTTTTCATCTCACAAGTCTAAGTGTAACATGGATAACTCCGTGTCACTGCTCTCCGGTGACGATGGCCGATCAAGATCAATTTTCCCATCTTGGTATTCTTCCATCCATAAAATCTCGACAACTTGAGTGAATTGAAATTCACGCATGCTGTCGATGGCCGATCAGGATCAAGAATTCTCCACTGGATTGCTGTCTCAGTGACGATTTCGATCAAAACCCTAAACCCCAAATCGTAGAATCCTCGATGATTCAGGTATCCTTTTCTCTATTCAAAAAGAAACAAGGTATCTTTTAATTCTTGCATACATTCCTTCTAAGAAAAAAGCCAAGAAATTGTCGTCTTTTTTAAGTTAAATTGGATCTTCAAGAAATCTTTTCTTCTTCAAAAAAAAAGTTATGTTATTATTCTCGCCGTGTATGTTAAGTTTGTTCAAGAATCTGTTTTTACTTTTCTAAGGGTGAGGCTATTTGGAGTTCAATATCATTATGTTTTCACAAGGGTTGTTTAGGAGTGTTTCAACAGCTCTATGCTGGTGCCACAAAGTCATTCTTTATGGAAAGACGTGGAGTTGTTCTTGAACCCACTCGCACAACTCTAATTATAAGAAGTTGTGATTAGTAGTATTTTGAATTAAGTAGTTTAATTATTAGACAGACAGACTTTGTAAACGCCCTCAATGACCATCTTCCTTTACATGGTCTAGACTTTTTGACTTTGATTGTTTGTTATTGTTTTCATTTGAGAATCAGTAAAAGTCTGCTGAGAACGTCATAGTCAAGTGACTAACGGAGGCAAGTCGTGCCTTCATGCAGTTTTAATCAATTAGACTGATTGCACCTGTGAATTTGTATGTGGCTTGCACGCAAAGGCAGTGACCGGTGGGACTTGTGCGTATTCTAAATTATTTTTTCCGCGTGTATTTACAAAAAGTTTTCATTTGAAAGCTATAAAATGACACCGCCTATCTTCACACGCTACGTCTTCTGATTACAAATTACGCTACTGGTGCAGTATATAACTTCATACGCTACTGACGCGCATTGTAGAACTTCATATGCTATTTTCCTTTACATGGTCTAAGACTGTTTGACTTTGACTGTTTCATAAAATGGAAAAGTGTGCCACCTAAGAAATAGGGAATTATTTGATTCGTCTTTTTTGATTTTGTAAATGTTTTGAGGATTAGTAGAGGTGGGCTGCTGAGAACATCACACACTTTCAATTGTTTAGACTAATTCCACCTGTGAATTTGTGTGTTGTTGCACAAAAGGCATTGACCAGTGAGGCTCTTCAACGAATTCTTATGTTCCTCTGTTTGCTGCTTCCTTGTAGGGCTGTTCTTGTGTTTGTTGTTCTTATAAAGTAGTGTGTTCCTAGTTTGAAATTTAACCCAGTTTCCACTTTCCACTCTCCACCAGGTATCTGTTGCAATAGGAATTGGACCTGCTATGTAAATGTGGTATCAGTTCCTTTCCCACCCCTCACTTAACCACCCTTTTCATGATATTACTCATGCACTCCCTCTTTTGTTATTTTTTGTACTCACTCTACTCAGTTTTATACACAATGAAGATTAGAGGTTTTCATCTGTCGATGTTCAATCAAACATGTTCCTTGTCCAGCTAAAGAACTGTTGATTTGGCACGGCACTTCATATTTTGGTTCTATGAGATTTTTCGAGAAATTTCATTTTTTGGTCTTCCTTTTCTGTCTCATAGGCAAACTGATGCTTGCAGCCATGCTGGGTTTCAAAGCTTTTCAGCAAATCATTTTTGGGCGTCGCAGAGTTCAATTTTTTTTGCTGGTAAATCACCCTTTAGTGAAACTACAGGATCTTCTACTTTTCTTGTTCTTTTATTACTCTCTCTTGTATAACTCAAAAAAAGCAACTTAGCATGTTCTCTTTGAGCTGAACAACTGTTGATTGGCATGGCAGCTCAGGCGGGTATATGAGATTTAGGAGAAAGTTACATTTTATGGTGTGTTTTCTCTGTCTCATAAGGCTTAATGATGCTTGCAGCCATGACAGACCGATTTTTGCAGTCATTCTGGGTGTCAAAGATTTTGAGCTAATCATGTTTGGTTGTTGCAAGTTCAATATTTTTGTCACTAAATCATCCTTTTTGTGAAACTACACGACCATCTTCTTTCTTGTTCTTATTACTCTCTCCTGTATAACTCAAACAAGGCAATGAAAATCTCTCTTGAGCTGAAATACTGTTGCTTGGCATGGAACCTCAGGTGGGAATATGAGATTTAGGAGAAAGTTCCATTTCATGGTGCATCTTCTCTGTATCATGATGCGTGTAGCCACGAACAGATTCCAAAGCTTTTAAGTTGGTTCGTGTTTCGGCTTAGAAAAATTCAGTTTCCTTCCCACCCTCCCCAAACCGCCCTTTTCATGAAATTAAACATGACCTTCCTCTTCTTTTTTTTTTTATTACTCTCGCTGCTCCGTTTATTAAAACATGAGGATGTGGAGGTTTTGCCTTCTGGGGAGTTCAATATTTCTTGTTGCTCTTCAGGTGGGTTCAGTGTTACGAAAGGCGCTCGCCTCGTCGCCAAAGGCGAGAGGCGAGGCGAGGCGAGGGTGGCTCGCCATTCTCTGGCGAGGCGAGGCGAGGAGAAAAAGGCGAGCCCCTGGCGAACTATGGCGATGAAATGGCGAGCGAAAGGCGCCGCCTTTTTGATTAAAAAATTTTGACTTAATAATATTAGTCAAAATTAGGGTTTTTTTTTTACTTTTGAAAATTTCTGAAATCCTCCACATCGCGACTCTCTCTCTCTCTCTCTATCGATCGATTGACTTTTCTCTTCTCATCCATCGCATCGCTGCTCCCTCGCTGTCCCTCGCTGTCGCGCATCTCTGCTCCCTCGCTGTCGCGTCTCTGCTCCCTCGCTGTTGCGTCTCTTCTCCCTCGCCGACGACCCTCGCGACTCTCACTCTCTGTTTTCAGGTAATGTTTTCTCATTTCTGATTTCTCTCTCCTTCTTCTGTTCTTATTTTTTCTGTTCTTCTTCATTTTTATTTTTATTTTTGGTAAGCTGCAGTCAGGCAGTGCTTACTGCTTTGTGTAACTGTAAAGTGTTAATTTTTTTTAAAAAATTCTTTGCTAATATGTGTTATTGCTATTAAGACTTTGGATAAAATATGCAATTAAATATTTTTAATTTTTGGTATTAATTGGCGCCTTTATTCAAAAAGGCAAGCGCCTCGCCGCGTGGCGAGGCAGGCCCTTGTCGCCTTTTGTCGCCTCTCGCCGTCCACAACACTGGGTGGGTTTATGAGATTGTAATTAAATTTCCATCTCATGGTGTTTCTTCTCCATCTCACAGGCCTGATTGATGCTTGTAGCCACGACAGATTTCAATTCTTCTGAGCTCATCATGTTTTGGATTTATAGAGTTCAGTTTTGTTTCTTTCGCCAAACCACCATTTTGGTGAAATCACACACGACCTTCCCTTTTTCTTATTTTTAGTGCTCTTTCCAATATAACTCAAAAAGGGCAATCGTTCACTCTAGAGCTGAAAAACTGTTTTTTGGCATGGCATCTCATGTGGGTCTCTGAGATTTTTGAAGAAGTACCATTTCTTGGTGTTTTTTCTCTGTCTCTCAAGGCTAACTAATGCTTGCAGCCATGACATGTTTCTAAGCTTTTGGGCTGATTCGTGTTTTGTGTTGAGTTTCTTACCCATCCCTCGGTCGAACCACCCTTTTTGTGATATTACACAAGCACTTTCTCTTTTCTTGTTCTTTATACTCTGCTCCATTTATACACAATGAGGTTTTGGAGGTTTTCATCCATCGATGTTCAATTAAACATGTCTCATGTCAAACTAAAGAACTTCTGCTTGGCACGACACTTCAGGTGGGTCATGAGATTTTGGGAAATGTTCCACTTATTGGTCTTTCTTCTCTGTCTCCTAGGGAAGCTGGTGCTTGCTGCCATGCCTGGGTTTCGAAGCTTTTGAGCTAATCATGTTTGGGCATTGCAAAGTTCAGTTGTTTTGTCACTATATCATCCCTTTGGTGAAACTACATGACCTTTTACCTTTCTTGTTCTTATTACTCACTCATGTAAAATTCAAAAAAAAAAAGAAGCAATTTAACAAGTTCTCTCTTGAGCAGAAAAACTGTTGCTTGGAGTAAGTTCCATTTCATGGTGCATATTCTCCGTCTCATAAGGCTTACTGATGCTTGCAGCCAAGACAGATTTCAATGTTTTTGAGTTAATTTGTTTTTCGGCTTGGCAAAGTTCAATTTCCTTTCCCCCTTACCCAAATCACCCTTTCCGTGGAATTACACATGAGCTCCTCTGTTTGTTATTCTTATACATCTTTTTCCTCTGTTGATAAACCATGTTAAGAAACCAAGAGGAAGTGGAGGTTTTTTTCTTTTGTGCAATTTCAATAGAACTTGTTGTCTCTCAAGGTGATTAAACTGTTGCTTGGTAGTAGGTGCGACACCTCAGATGGGTCTAGATTTTGGAAATAAATTTCTATTTCATGGTGTTTATTCTTCATCTCACTTGACTAGCCGATACTTGTAGCCACGACAGATTTCAATGCTTTTGTTCTAACCGTGTTTTGGCTTAGCATGTTCAGTTTTTTTCTCTCACAAACCTCCTTTTTTGGTTATATTACGCATGACCTTCCATTTTTCATATTTTAGTTCTCTCCCTGTATTTCTCAAAATGGCAATCAAACATGTTCTCTCTTGAGCTGAATAACTATTGCTTGGCTTGGCATCTCATGTGGGTTTGGGTGATTATGGGGAAACATCCATTTCATTGTGTATTTTTCTGTCTCACAAGGTTAACTAATGCTTGCAGCCCTGACAGGTTTCTGAGCTTTTGAGCTGATTCATGTTTTTGTCCCACCCATCACCTAACCATTATATTCAATCAAACATGTTGCTTGTCGAGCTAAAGAACTGTCGCTTGGCACAACACAAACATGTTGATTCATGTTCTCTTTTGAGCTAAAATTTGATGCTTGGCATGACACCTTAGGTGGGTATATGAGATTTAGGAGAAAGTTTCATTTCATGGTGCATCTTCTCTGTCTCATAAAGCTAACTGTTGCTTGCAACCATGACAGATTTCAAAGCTTTTCAGTTGATTCGTGTTTTGGCTTGGCAAAGTTCAGTTTCCTTTCACCCCTCCCCAAACCACCCTTTTTGTGAAATTGCACATGACTTTCCTCTTTTGTTATTCTTATTACCCTTTCTGCTCAGTTTGTATACCATGAGGATGTGGAGGTTTTGTCTTTCCTGGAAGTTCAGTTAAACTTGTTTTCTCTCGAGCTGATGAAACTGTTGCTTGTCACGGCACCTCAGGTGGGTTTATGAGATTTTGAAATCAAATTTCCATTTCATGGTGTTGCTTCTCCATCTCATACTGTTAAGTTATTTGTTTATGATTTTTGGACTACCAGGAAAAGGTAAAAAAATATGTAGGTCGCTTGAAGATGAAAGAGAATATTTAAAGTTTATGTCTCTTTTGCTTTTCACATTTTATATTGTTTCTTACTTCATTTTTTGCCTTTTAATTGTGGATCCTTATTTTTGCTCTCAATGAACTCAAAAATGCTCTTTGCAAGCAATACAAGCAATCAACTTGAATAATGTAAGCTTTTAGCTCAGTGCTGTTGAGCTTTTAGCTAAGTGCTGTCTTTATTCAGTTATAAATTTTTGGAAGCCATTTAGGTTCTGGACTGACATTTTCTTGAGCCTTTGCTTTGTCTCCTTTTTGCCTGGTTTAATCTGGGTTAGAAAGAATCAGCCGAATGACGCTTGAAGTCTTGTGAATTCCCTTTTGTTAGGTTAGCCCCAAAAGCCAAGAATGAGGCAGCAGAGAGCATGAGATTTTGTCAAGGGTGGTTTCCTACTCCCTAAAATTTTCCTATGATTTTACATTTTTTAAAACAAATTAACAGCCCTTCAAAAAGAAAGAGACAGAGAATACACCTGAGTTTCTGTGTTTCATTGCATTTTTGCATTCTTAGACGTATGCTCATAGGGCAATACACACACAACTATACTACAACAGCTTGACTATGAATTTTATTAAGGAGGCAGTGATGATTTTTGGGCTAACTAAATTTGGGCATTGAGATCACTCAACCCGTATCATTGCGGGGAACCTGCTATGGCCTGTAATTGAGACACAAAAATCACACATGCAATCATGTATTGCAGCCATGGCGTGGTATGCTTCTCTTTGGCCTTACCATAACACAAATTTGAGCCTCAATTTGCTAAAGAGAAGGGAAAAGGGTCAAATTTTTACCTCTTTATATGCACAAGGGACAATATCATTTCCATGATTAATGTGGGAGATATTGAACCCACACACGTCCTTCTGATTTGCAATTTTGATGTTTTTCATTTGTAAGGTGTCTCCATCTTTTGACAAGTACCAGCTCAAGAATGAGGCATTTGAACGAAATGTTGGATTATTGAGGGGTGGTTGCCTCCCTTCTCTTGTAAGCCCTGATTCTATTTTTGAAGTTTTGCATTTTTATGCATCTTTTATAGCTTCAACGTTTATATTCCTCCCACTGATGGATATATGTCTGTCTAAAAGTGAAAAAAAGCATGACACACTTCTTCGTAGGCTCTTTAATCTATTTTGAGGTATCAATATCACTGTTTGTTCCGTCTTGTTGAAATCAAGAAGGATTTTTGAGGGTTTGACCCTTTGAAGTGTCATTCTTGTGTATTGTCTCTTAAGGTCCATTCTATGTTTTATGAATTGTAACTTATAAGGGAAGAACATTTTTGTTCAAACATTAAAATGAGAGGCTCTGATATCTATTTTTGACGTTTCTTTGTAGGAAATTGGTAATAATACTCATTGGAGGCCAAATAGACATCGTAAGATTTTGAAGGTTAAAGTTCTTTGAGTTTTAGTTGGTAGTATTCATTAAGATAACTTTCAAACAACCTAGTCTTTGTTTTGCCATTGTTTAAAGGACGGCAAGTGTTTGTACCTTGGAATTTGATGATTGCACGCAATATGTTGGCACACCAGGTAATTCCGTATAAGCATACCTGATATGTGCGTTGACTGCTTTTGAGTTGATTTGTGTTTTGGCTAAGCAAAATTCAATTTTGCTCCCCCCTCCCCCACCAAACCACCTCGTTCGTGAAATTATACCTGACCTTCCTCTTTTTTTATTACTCTCTCTTCTTCGTTTATTAAACCGTCAGGTTGTGGAGGTTTTGTCTTTTGAGGAAGCTCAATAATTTTTGTTTTCTTTGGAGCTAATCAAATGATGCTTGACACCACTCGTCCGGTGGGTCTATGAGATTTTGGAATTAAATTTTTATTCCATGGTGTTTCTTCTCCATCTAACACGGCTAATTGATGTTTGTAGCCACGACAGATTTCAATGCTTCTGAGCTCATCGTGATTTGGCTTTGCACAGCTCAATTTTTTTCACTCACCAAACCACCCTTTTGGTGAAATTACACGACCTTCCATTTCCCATATTTCTAGTTGTCTTTCCGGTACAACTCAAAAGGGCAATCAAACCTGTTCTCTCTTGAGCTGAATAGCTGTTGCTTGGCATGGCATCTCATGTGGGTATGTGATATTTTTGAAGAAGCACCATTTATTGGTGTTTTTTCTATCTCTCAAAGCTAACTATTGCTTGCAGCCATGACATGTTTCTATGCTTTTGAGTTGATTCGTGTTTTGAGTTGAGTTGGAACATACATTTTGGTGCTTAGGTACTTCTAGCCCAGCTTATGGAGAGAGTATATGTGCCTGTTTCTTTCATCTTCTGTTACGTTTCCTTTTTGTCTGGCCATCTTATCTTATGGTTTTGAATGCTTGCTTTACACCCGTGACATCGAAATACACCATTCAGATGATATGCATGCTTTCCCAGCAAGCTTTGATTGAAAAGGAGAGACTCTATGCTCTTAGATTTCTAATGTTTCTTTATTGGAAATTGTTAGTTAAACTCACAGGAGGCCAAATGGATATTGTAAGGTTTTAAAGGTACAATTCTTTTGAGTTTTAGTTGGCAGCATCCATTAGGATATGTATGAAACTACTAACTTGGTCTTTGTTCTTGCCATTCTTTACAAGATGGCAACAAGTGTTTATGCCTTGATGATTGTAGACAAAATAATTGTACAGCAGGTAATCTGCATATTGAGACTACTGATACATGAGTTGACTGTTGTTTACTGATAAGGAAATTTCTAGGAAGCAAATGTACTCCAAGTACTTCTAGTTTTCTGACAAACAAATAAAAATATTGAATTATATATGTTACTTTCTAAAGCTGTACTATGTCTTGATTGATCTTTTTGTTTGCATATATAATCTGAAAGGCCAAAGAGGGTGTTGCATTCTATGAAAGAGTCTAGAGTCTCTGCTAAGAATCACCCCTGTGCATTCCAGTGTCTCCTTCAAAGTTTCCATTTTTGTTATTTTTAGTACTCTTTACGGTATAACTCAAAATGGCAATCAAACATGTTCTCTATTGAACTGACAAACATGTGCTTGTTATGACATCTCATGTGGGTCTGTGATATTTTGGAGAAATTTTCATTTTATGATGTTTATTCTCAGTCTCAGAAGGTCGTGGCTTACTGATGCTTACAGCCATGACAGGTTTCTAAGCTTTTGAGCTGATTCGTGTTTTGACCTGACAATGTTCAGTTCCTCTCCAACCCCTCATTGAACCTCCCTTTTCGTGATATTGCACAGGCACTCCCTCTTTTGTTGTTCTTAGTACTCACTCTGCTCTGTTTTATATACATTGAAGATATATAGGTTTTCATCTGTCGATGTTCAATCAAACATATTGCCTGTCCGGATAAAGAATTGTTGCTTGGCACGGCACTTCAAGTGGGTCTATGAGATTTTTTGAAAAGTTCCATTTTTGGTCTTTCTTCTCTGTCTCATAGGCAAACTGATGCTTGCAGCCATGTTGGGTTTCAAAATTTTTGAGCTAATCATGTTTGGGCATCGCAAAGTTCAATTCATTTTGTTGGTAAATCACCCTTTTTTGTTGAACTACACAACCTTCTACTTTTCTTGTTCTTATATTACACTCTTGTATAACTCAAGAAAAAGCAATTTAGCATGTTCTCTCTTGATCTGAAAGCTGTTGATTGGCATGGCAGCTCAGGTGGCTATATGAGATTTTGGAAAAAGTTTCAATTCATGGTGCATCTTCTCCGTCTCTTAAGGCTTACTGAAGCTTGCAGCCATGACAGACCGATGCTCGCAGCCATTCTAGGTGTCAAAGCTTTTGAGTTAATCATGTTTGAGTATCGCAAAGTTCAATTCTTTTGTCGCTAAATCATCCTTTTTTTGAAACTACACAACCATCTTCTTTCTTGTTCTTACTCTATAGTATAACTCAAACAAGGCAATTTAATATCTCTCTTGAGCTGAAATACTGTTGTGTGGCATGTGGGTCAATGAGATTTTGGGAGAAAGTTCCATTTCATAGTGCATCTTCTCTGTATCATAAGGCTATAACTGATGCTTGCAGCCATGACAGATTTTAAAGCATTTGAGTTGGTTTGTGTTTTGGCTTAGCAAAATTCAGCCCCCCCCCCCCTTCCAAACTACTCTTTTCGTGAAATCACACATGACCTTCCTCTTTTTTTTAAAAAAAAAAAAAATTATTCTCTCTGCTCCTTTTATAAACCATGAGGATATGGAGGTTGTCTACCGTGGAATTTCAATAATTCTTGTTTTCTCGCGAGCTAATTAAATGATGCTTGACACCGCTCCTCAGGTGGGTCTATGAGATTTTGGAATTAAATTTTCATTTCATGGTGTTTCTTCACCATCTCACACAGCGAATTGATGCTTGTAGCCACGACAGATTTCAATGCTTTATGAGCTAATTGAGTTTGGGTTCGCAAAGTTCATTTTTTTTTTTCTTACCAAATCACCCTTTTGGTGAAATTACTCACGACCTTCCATTTTTCTAATTTTTAGTACTCTTTCTGGTATGACTCAAAAGGGCAATCAAACCTGTTCTTTCTTGAGCTGAAAAGCTGTTGCTTGGCATGGCATCACATCGGGATCTGTGAGACTTTTGAAGAAGTATCATTTCTTGGTGTTTTTTCTCTCTCTCAAGGCAGACTAATGCTTGCAGCCATGACATGTTTCTAAGCTTTTGAGTTGGTTCGTGTTTTGAGTTGAGTTTATTTCCCATCCCTCACCGAACAACCCTTTTCATGATATTACACATGCACTTCCTCTTTTCTTGTTCTTAGTACTCACTCTGCTCCATTATATACACAATGAGGATTTGGAGGTTTTCATCCATAAATGTTCGATCAAACTTAGCTCATGATGAAGTAAAGAACTGTTGCTTGGCACAACGCTTCGGGCGGGTCTATGAGATTTTGGGAAATGTTCCATTTTTGGGTCTTTCTTCTCTGTCTCATAGGCAAACTGGTGCTTGCAGCCAAACTGGGTTTCGAAGCATTTGAGCTAATCATGTTTGGGCGTCACAAAGTTCAATTTATTTTGTCGGTAAATCACACGACCTTACTACTTTTCTTGTTCTTATATTACTCTCTCTTGTATAACTCAAAAAAGCAATTTAGCTTGTTCTCTCTTGAGCTGTAAATCTGTTGATTGGTGGCTGCTCAGGTGGGTAGATCTGATTTAGGAGAAGGTTCCATTTCATGGTGCATCTTCTCTGTCTAGTGAAGCTGTCTGATATTTAGGAGAAAGAGAGCTGCAGCAGCGCATTTTAGAAACTCGCCACCTCAAATACACCGATCGCCTGTTTTCCTCCCAGAGTCCTTCACGGATCGGCTCTTAAGATGCCCAATTCTAGCCTACTTTTTAAGAAAAAAGATTTAGAACTTGGTATCAAGAAAGAAACCTAAACACATTTTCCCTCATTCTTATCTGCTGGAAAATTCTTGCAAGCCTTCTTTAGAAAAAATCAAGAACTTTGCTTTTTAAAGTTACATTGGTATTCAAAAATACATATTTTCACAAAATCGAGAATTTTTGCATGAATGCTTTTTTTAAAAATTCTTGAACTTGTTGCCATATTTTAAGGAAATTGTAGTTTTCAGGAATATATTGGCATTGCACATGTCAGAATTTTTTTTTTGAAAATATTATGTTTTTATTCTTGCAATGTGTGTTAAGGGTGTTCAAGATTTTGTTTTTACCTTTTTAGTGAGATCGGTAGCATTAAGTGAATGCCTCAGGCTATTTGGAGCTTCACCCAGTTTCCATCAGTTATATGTTGCTATAGGCATTGGTACCTGCTACGGTATGGTGGATGGCAATGGTAAGTTTTAGTTTTTTCAACATTGATCTAATGCACTTTGATGTGCAGTAAATTCTGTTCAATTTATTATATATTATCATCTGCTATGTTTTCTTCATGGTCTCCTTCTTTGTACCTGAATTTGAATTTGTTGTACTTGTGTCGAGGGTCTTTCGAAAACAACCTCTTTTCCTACACGAGGTAGTTGTAAGGTCTGCGTATATTCTCCCTCCTAGACCGCACTTGTGGAATTTCACTGGGTATGATGTGGTTGTTGTTAGTATGATGCTCCATTCTAGTCATAATTTTTTTTCTAAATGAATATTTTTGTAGCACACCTCTCTTTTTTTTTTGATGAGATTTAGAGCCTGTTTCGATTAGCTTATTTTAGGTGCTTTTAAGCCTAAATAGCTTTTAATCCAACATAGTGATGAACTTTGATAATGCTTCTGACATTGAAAAGCGAAGTAGATCAAAGATATATCCACTGTTTTTGTTTAACCTAAAAAATTCCTAAGATCTTTAAATGATTTGACTTTGGAGCCTTCAAAGACCTCTGTGGGATTTAAGGTGAGATTTTTTGTTGGCATTTATTATTTAGTTGTTTTGGTGTTGGGAGACTTCTGACATTGAATTTGTTTTTGTAGAAATAAGTTTGTGTTGGTGCTTGTTTTGTGAGAATTGGGTTGGATTGTTTTCTGTAAAAAAATATTTGAAAACACCTATTCATTTTTTGAAACTATAATGTGGGTTAAATAAATAGGTTAAAACTGGCTAAACATCATTATTTATTACTAATTGTATAGGATTTTAAAGTATTAAAAAGGACCTCCTGAAAGAAAGCCCTTTGTGTCACAGATGTTCACGAAGAACAAAATAATCTCCCAATTGTTATGGGAGAACCATGAAAATCACGTTTCTTGCTTTTATTGGTTGCAAAACCAAACAGGCTGTTAACAAGGACATGTACATATTTGTTTCTTGATTGTTGTGTTGTATTTCTTATTATAATGTTTTTTCTGCTTACTACGTAATTCTTCCAGTTTGAATGAGTCTGATATTTAAGTGGGATCAAGGTAGTATCTCAGGAGTTTCAAACTTGCAGGTCAATCTGAGCCATTTAGTTAACAAGAAATTTTTTTGTTATTCAGAATAAAATTGAGCCCTAATATGGTAGAGACAAGTGTTAGAGAAGGACGGGTCCTCAATCCTGCCATAAGGAATATGAATGTTAAAGAGAATAGGCTTCTGGTGACTAGTTGATTCTTAATGTTACTTGTAAGATTGGGGCCCCATCCTTATCTTTATTGAGGATACTATCATGCATATTTGGACTGGAAGTAACTCTCGGTGAGAGCAATTGTACCCGACATTCTTATGCAACATCACTTTGATATACTGTATTTGATGTTATTTGTACATGTGGCTTTGATCACTCCACAATCCCTTCCCTGTATGCTGTAGCCCCCCCCCCCCCCTGCCTGCGTCCCTAAAAGGAGGGTGGGGTGGGGACAAATTGTGGAAAAGAGTTTAGAGTTACTTATGCATCAGATGGTGCAAAGCATTTCAATGTTATGCCATCATTTAGTTTTATCACTTTCTTATTTCTTTAGTTACTTTTGGAAAACCTAGATAAGAATTTAGTTGTTGAAATATTTTCCTCATCTATTGCTATCCCATTTCATTCTCCTCTTTTCAGATATACCTGTGAATTATGAGATCAGGAAAAAGAGGTGCAGGCCCAGAGTTGAGAAGCGAAACTGAACTTCCTTCCCCACAGCCAAAGAAACTGACTGGATAGTGCACTGTCAGGAGAGAGATTTGATCTTCACAGAATATTATGTGGGGAAATGCTTCTGAAAAGCATGATCCCGAGTCCAAATTCCCCTTTGTCAGATCAAAAACTCAAGTCGGTCAATCGATGGCTCTCTTGCTCATTGCAGAGTCGGCGTAAACTGGATATCCAGAAACTCTATGCAATCCCTTTCATCTAACATTTTACCTACAGAGGACTATTTCCTGGTTAAGAAATTCAGTGCTTCAGATAGATTCTAACAGTTATAGCTTGCATATCAAGCTTCATTTATGCGATCGGGGAGAGGTTGCTACATGAGAGAAGGAAACCATTTATGCGAAGCCCTATGCGCAGAAGTCTGACCCCTGATGGATCATCCTTCGATAGTGATGAAGATATTAGGTTTGAAAAATGTAAGTACAGAATCAAACAAAATCGCCTTAAAGATGATTAAGAGTGTTGAATTTGAAGTAGCTGACGGTGTTACCCATGTCTTGAATCACAGGTCTCCTGGTTTTGAGAAACTTCTCCAACTTAGATCAAGGTATTGCACAGGGACTGGGAGGCATAATAGTCGTGACACGTGCAAGTTGACCTGAACATCACCCTCGGAATTTTATTTTATTTTATTTTTTGCAGAGAGAGACAAGGCAAGTGAGGTTTGGTTGATTTGCATCATAATTTCAGATTCCTGCTGATTTGGTAGGATCAGCTTGTTCAGGTTTTTCTACTCTTTTTGCCTTTTGGCGATATAGTTTCTAGTTTCACGTTCTGATTTAATCGGCTTTTGAGGAATTCTAACTGCTTAGGAGGTTGATGACCAACTTACAAAAAAATTATAAAGAATTCTCATAGTATTTGTTGATGAAGTCCTAATCAAATTCGCCCAACGAATGGGAATTACACCCCGATTATTCAATGTGGTTTTGATCGATCGATTCGATGGAGAACTTTAGGAGTTCTTCATTTTGCTTTTAGGTGCTATGTCGTGGACTCTTTGTTGACATTAATAAGGGAAGAGCATAAATTCAATATGTTCCGTTAAACGGTAGCCGCTTCCAATATTTGCCTTCTCTCTTTTTCTTTGATCCTTTTTTCGATGTTGACAGTAGTTAAGTCATCTTTCTCCCTCAAGAATTGGACCTTGAGGTGCTGCTGCCGCATTCCAACAATTACATTATCAATTTTCTTCAGAATGTTTGCATTCATAATCTAGATCAGAAGTACTCTTGAACTTGTTGCTTATAACTCAAATATCTGATTTCAATAGTAGGTTACATGGATATAGAAGCCAACCAACTGAAGAAAATTAAAAGTGTGGCTGTGTTTGTTTGTTAAACATCACTTACAGTAGTATTACTTTGGTTATGGTATGGAGTACCAGAGAGGCTTTGCAGCTTTCTGGAGGCCTCATCTGTTCCAGTATAACAGTAGCTCTTTGAGGATTCAGGATGCACAATTTCACTTCTAGTATATTCATCTGTTCATTCCAATTGCCTATAACTCTTCTAAATATGCTTACAAATTCATATTCTATAGTTCCTTGACTTCAAATATGTTCTCTTTGAAGCATTATTCGAGATCAATAATCCCACTTGTTGAGTTTATCTTTATTTCTTCTTCAGATTGTTAGTGTGCCTGAAGAACACAGAAACATCCACGTGGCAATACTATTCAGGTATACTGAATCTATTTAGTGCCTATTTTATCTGCATTATCTTTTTAAAAATGGCAAGCTAACAATTTTGTGGGAAAAATACTCAACACTTGCTATTTGGATGGTAATATAGTTTAGTGCTTTTTAGAATCAATTGGATTAAGGTGGGAGTTGAATACAAATCTCTACGGAGGAACGAATGTTTGACCAAGGAAAATCAGATGTCAGGCGCTGACCTGTTCAACAACAAGAAACAGAACGTCTTCAGCTAAACTACACTTATGTTGGGAACGGGAGGTCAAGTGATGATCTCACTGCATATGGACTTATATCTAAACTTTCGAGGCGGTTTCCAGATTTAGTGAGTTTATCTTCACTGGATGAGGATCATCTTGTTCAGGTTTTTCTACTGTTTTTGCCTTTTTCCGATGTAGTATCTAGTTTCACGTTTTCATGATTTAATTGGCTTTTTGGGAACTCCAACTGTGCTTAGGAGGTTGATGACCTACTTTAAAGCTAGACCTCCTGATAATAGCTGATGATTTTAATGATATTTATTGATAGATCAGAAAAACAAGGAGGAAGAAGTAGAGATACTTGGACCTTTAGATACTTTAAGAACTTTATATGGAACTTAGGTGCAGTTGACTTAGGTTATGATGGAAAACCTTGGACGTGGTGGTGTTACAGGGAAAATGAGGGTATAATCCAGGAAAGGCTAGATCGTGTCTTAGTCTCTCCTAATTGGAAAATTAAATTTGAGAAAGTGAATGTGCAACATATTGAAACTGAGGCATCAGATCATTCTGCCTTGATGTTGTCTCCTGATGCTGAACCAATAAGGAAGAAAAAGCGGTTTTACTTTGATAAAAGGTGGATTGAGCATGAAGGGGTTGAGAATATTATTTCAAAAGCTTGGTCGTATGATTGTAATGGCTTTGAGCAATCTCAAGTTAGCTTTAAAATCAAACATTGTTGTAGATCTTTGGTGGCTTGGTTAAGTGGGGTAATGGTAATGCAAGAAAGAGAATTATTAGCATTAAGGGAAAGATTACAACCCTTAGGAATAACGCTAGTAATTTTGACTGGAGTAAATTAAGGTCACTGAAAAGGGAGCTAAGCAAAGCCTATATGATGAAGAAACCTTTTGGAAACAGAAGTCTAGAGCCTTATGGTTGCATGAAGGGGATAAAAATACATCATATTTTCACATGGCAACCTTGCAAAGAGTTCCAGACATCTGATGTGAGGTGGGTGGTAGACCAAATTGATATAATTCAAGAAGTTGAGCAGTATTATAACAGTCTATTCTCTACATCTAACCCGACAGACTTGAACTGTATCTTAAATCATATTACAATGATTGTTAGTGATTCTATAAATCAGGATTTAATTAAGGAAGTTGATGATGAGGAAATAAAGAATGTGGTGTTTGCAATGCATCCTCTTAAAGCGCCCGGTATTGATGGTATGACTCCTCTATTTTTTCAAACGTATTGGAATATCTTATAGAAGGAAATCTGTGATGCTGTTAAAAGTTTCTTTGGTACAGGATATTTACTCCCTACATGGAACCATACTTTAATCACTTTAGTGCCCAAAGTTAAAAGCCCCACCTTGGTTTCGCAATTTAGACCAATAAGTTTATGTTCTACCTTGTACAAGATCATTGCAAAAATTCTGGCTGCAAGAATGACATGTGTTCTAACTAAGGTGATATCCCCTACTCAAGCGGCTTTCATATGTTGGATATGTCGAAAGCCTAGGACAGAGTTAAAGGGATTTATTTACAAGAAATGCTTTTACGAATGGGTTTCTATAAAAGATTTGTCGAATGGATAATGCAATGCATCTCTACACCTACTTATAGTCTTAATATAAATGGGAGATAGTTGGATCGGTTAAACCTACCAGGGGGATAAGACAAGGAGATCTAATATCACCATTTTTATTTTTAACATGTGCTGAAGGTTTATCAACCTTATTGAACATATCTGAGTAACAAAATGAAATCCAAGGGCTAAAGTTGAATAGACATGGGCCAAGTGTGACTCATTTACTTTTTGCTGATGTATCCTTTATATTTTGTTCAGTTAACAATCAAAATGCAAGTTGTGTAGCCAATATCTTAAAGAAATATGAACGAAGCTCTGGGCAAGTGGTTAATCTAGATAAATCAGCAATCTGTTTCAGTAAAAATGTGAGAGAGGAGGAGAAAGTTGAGATATCCTTGTCGTTTGGACAACGACAAAGGAATGACATGGGTATGTACTTAGGTTTATCGGCTGTTGTGGGACGCTCCAAGAAAAGGATGCTAGAGTTTATAAAAGAAAGAGTCCAAACGAAAATAGAAGGATGGAAGGTTAAAATTTTTAAGTACTGCAGGAAAAGAAATTATGCTCAAGTCCGTACTAGCAGCGATTCCTACGTATGCGTTTTCTTGTTTCCAACTCCCTGATGGTGTATGTAAGGAAATTACATCCCTTTTTTTCAAATTTTTGGTTGGGACAAACAGAGGAGAAAAGAAAGATGCATTTTGAGAAATAGGATTGATTATGTCATTCTAAATCAATAGGAGGATTAGGCTTTAGACATCTAAAAGCTTTTAATATGGCTCTATTTAGCTAAGCAAGCTTGGCGAATTCTATCTCAACCAGATTCTTTAATAGCAAGAGTTCTTAAAAGCAAATATTTTCCTAACTCAACCTTTTCTAAAGCTTCAACATCATCTCTGGTTCCTGGATATGGAAGAGTATTTTGTGGGGGAAGAGATCTTTGGCTAAAGGATTAAGATGGCGGATTTCTGATGGGAAATATATCAATGTGTTGATCGGCCCTTGGATACCAAATAATAATGGGTTCATACCTAAGAAGATTCATGGGCATAGAAATTTAGATTTAGTAGTATCTGATTTAATTGATAAGAATATGCACGCATGGAAAATACAGGAGCTAAATTCGTTGTTTGAAGCTGAAGATGTTAATGCTATATTGTCTACCCCAATTTCTATTGCAGGTTCTAATGATAGGTTAATATGGCACCATGCAAAACAGGAGACTATGAAGTTAAGTCAGGTTACTACATCGCAAAGGATTTGATCTGTAAAACAAAGAAAAATCTGGAAGCTCAAGCGAGTTGTCATTCTTTTCCAAAATGTTTTGGGACTTCCTATGGAAGTTGGGAGTTAAGAATAAGCTTAAACACTTTTTGAGAAAATGTGTTCTTAACTCTCTACCCGTTCAGAGTAATTTAGCAAAAAGACTACACAAAGTAGATAAGACTTGTAAGATTTGTGGTCTTGGACCTGAAGATATAGGACATATGTTATTCAAATGCCCTCGGTCTCAACTTGTGTGGAAGCAATGTCCTATAAATTGGCCTGATATAGGATATATTAATGATTTTTCTATATGGTGGTATGGCTTGTTCTTAAATACCAAATCTTTTCCTGAATCTATTGACTTGTTAAACTTGAGCGCTAACATTATGTGGCAAATTTGTAAAGGTAGGAATAGTTGGTTGTTTAATCAGGAAAGGTTAGAAACAAGAGATATTGTCTCTAGATCCATGTTCGAGTATAAAGAATATAAAGAGTTACTAACAAAAAGTTTTTCATCTTGTTCATCTAGAAATCATCCTGTGATTAAATTAACAAATTTGCAAGATGGAATGTTATTGTTTACCGATGCAGGATTGCAGAATGATGATGGAAGGGCAAGTATCGGTTTTGTGGCTTTGGATAGCCTTGGAAACCTGCTTCATGCCCATGGAGCCCCAATCCAATTTGTTGGGGAAGTCATGACTGCTGAAGCAATTGCTATTAGGAAAGCTCTTGAATATGCTATCACTAAGGATGGAAGAGAGTGAAGATTTTATCAGATGCTAAAAATGTTGTTTATATGATTTAGAAATGAGCACAGACTTCATGGGAGATAGAAGTGTTGTGTGAAGACATTTGGAAGCTTTCAAGCATGTTCATTTATGTAGAATTTATATATATTTGTAGATTTATGAATAAAATAGCGGATAGGTTAGCTAGATACTCTATCTCTTTGTTGAAGGAAATCCTTGGGAGAAGTTTTTCCCAAGTTGGATCATTCAGGATGCAAAAGACATGTTTAAACTATGTATTCCGTTGATGCAATAATAAAAGAGGTTCTGTTACGGAGAAAAAAAAATAATGAGATTATTACACAGAATTGCTACTTCATAAAACCTGAATAAATAGAAGCATTTATAAATTCCCTCGTTTTCCTTTCCAGTTGTCACATAAAAGAAGTAAAGCAGATCGGCATGACAGAATTGATTCAACTTTTCTACTAGAATAACTGGTTCTGTTCATCTACAGACAATCAAATCTTAACTTCTACAACATGTCATTAGCCAGCAGTTTAAGACAGGTAAAAAGAACATTTAACATCTGTTAAATTCTTAAACCCTCCGAGAAGTGGCCAAATTTATAAAAAGAAAAATCCAATCAGCTAAATAGTATTTGCAAATTGCAACTACTACAACATGAAAAAGGGGTAGCCAAGCATACATAGAATTATAAAGTGCTACAACAACATGATTTTAAGGTCCCACAGCCTTACATCACAATAATGTTCAGTTTTGGTGCAATCAGCCTATTACCTATACAGAACATTAAGATAGTACAAAAAATTTTGATTAATCCCTGCAAAAAAAGGGAAAGCGGAAGCTCCGGTAGATTTATTCCACCAGCTGCAGCAGCTAAGTCTAGTCCAATCAACCTATTCTGATTGTACAAACAAATTTTGATTGATCTCTGTAAAAAGGTCTCTGCTCGCTATTCAGACTTTCAGAATCTATGATGTAGGATAAATTCGGATGAAGGTATTCTGTCATCTGCAAGACATTACTTAAGCAAACGAAACTCGCAGTTTCTACACATTAACGAAGGTCTGCACGATCTCATATAACCTTGAGATGTATACCTAAACTTCTTTGAGAATGGGCCAACCTTTCTTGATAATATCATTGATCTTTCCATCAATCCGCTTTTGGATTCTCGATGGACAAAGCTCTGCTGCATAGCCATTTAGTTTTGTAGCCAGTGTTGATCTCTCAAGCTCCTCCTCAGGCAAGTTTCCCATCAATTGAAGTAGGAAGGGATTCCGCTTGAGCTCAAATTTCTGAAAAATGGAAAGTAGCGATTTGTCAACATGTGTTTCAAATATCATTGGAGCAATGACAGTCAGAATTAAAAAGAAGAATATATAAACATGAGGAAAGAAAAAGAGTCCACATTATTCACGAATCAATAAATGGTAAACCACAAAATCTAGGTGGCTCTGTTTCTGGGGAAGTTCTGGGTCTTCTTTTTCAGAGAAATAAATCAAATAATCTTTCTCCTTTCCTGATTTTACTCCTAAAAAAATAATTAAAGACATAAACATTTAGCAACAAAAAGTCTTTCTTTTCCAAGTGACTAAGAATCTAAGTATTGTAACAAACTGTGAACCAAATGGTCAGAGTGGGCATCATCTGTAAAGAATCATAGTTTGATGTAGATTCTCTACCATTTGGTAACTTGTATGGGAGATTTCCCATCATCAATAAAATTATTTACCTTATCAAAAAAGTCCAGACTCCACTCGTGGTATGTTGTTTCTACTTTGTACCTCATAAAAAAAAATAACCTACAATTTTTATTCCTTTTTGGTTCTCCTGTAGTCCTAGAGCAACTCTTTCTGAGAGTTACATCTTGGCAGTTTCCTCACAAAAAGATTTCCCCTAAATAGACAAACACGTTTCCCATTAGCTTTGTTTTCACATGAAAGAAAAATTGCAATAAATGTTGTCTATCTACCACCTCATCTAGCCTGCTTAGATTTTTTGTTCCCAACTTTTAAAGCAATCCGGATACCAAATTCCTTGGTGGTTAGAACAAAGGATCAAAATAACATGAGAACAGGGAAAAGGCCAATATGGTATAAGTCCCTATAAATTTTCCTTGAACTATTATCTGTAATAAATCAAATACTTTATTAAGATACACCAAGATAGGGTTAAATACACAAGTATCCTATTATAAATAAGCTTTCATTTCCCTAGATGTTTAGTTAGCTCTTCTAACTAGAGCACCCTAACCCCTGTAAGTATTATTGTTATTTTTTGTTATATCCATGGTCTTGGCATAGTTCACTCATGTAGTGAGCTAACTACTACATCTCTTTTGCATGTATTGCATCTTCTTGATGCCTTATTAATGGATCTTCTTACTTCATTCACATTTTTCGTTGGATGTTCCAAAGAAACTGCAGTCATGACCATTGTACACATTGGAAACTAATAAAAAGAGAAATTCCATGGTTTAAGGAAGAGTCGTCAAATGAGACTCCAGCCAGAACAATATATGAATTTTATGATTCCAATTTTTGAAAGAACCCTATGAATGGATAAAGCTTATCTACATAATCTCTTTTACACACTCATAACTGATGATGTTTTGACGTCATCTGGAAAACAAATCTCTATGTTAATTTATCCAAGAAAGCTCAAGAATTCATCCAAATGAAAATAGCTACTCTCCCAATGTCCAAACCCCTATTTCTGATTGGCATTGTGCACACATTGCTAGCAGACCAGATGTACATTTTTAACCGTTCCATTTCAAAGGAAGTACCTCATATATTCTCAACTTTCTTAGATTTGTCGGATGGAATGGAGAAGAATAAAATAGAATATATAGGAATACAAGAAAGATTCTTTTCAAAGCTAATCCTTTCTCAATCGGGTCAAGGGGTAAAAGGCCCCCCAAAAGCACTTAGTAAGGTTTTGAAAATTCCCCTCCTATAACTAGATATACTATCCTGTCTATTTGGGATGTATCCTTCTATTCTTCCACGTAAAGTTCGCTGAGGATAGGGCAAACTGGTAACATTTGGTTGGACATGAATTCTGTGAAGTCATCAAGTACATTTTTCTATGCTTTGGACTCCACTCCTTTCTGCAAATCAGGTAGATTAAGATCCCACTCAAATGTTTCTGTTTCCTGCTTACCTCATATAATTCTTCCTAAAGGCACTATACAATCCTTATAAACTCCAAAAATAACAGAACCAGGGTTTTGGTCTAGCCGTGAGTCAGCTTGTGATGTGTGGTTTAGGTAGACGTCACGAGTGAGAACCTTATTGCACACAAGTTTTATACTTAAGTGGAGAGAGGTAAAGAGATGGACCCATTTTCCACCGAATTCCAGACCATGTGCCAGCTGACACAAGGATTTTTCAGTTACACTTGAGCAAATATATGTGTACATATCACTCCAGATAAAACCCATTCTATTCTTCCCCTTCGCATCTGAACTGTCAAGAGAGGCATTGCATCAATGGAATCTCCTGAATCCCCACCATGAATAACTCTATGAATTTTATGGAGGTAAGAATTAACAATGGCAGGAAACTTCAGTACTAAACCCTTTTTTTGACTAGGAAAGGAAGTGCAACAAACACTCAGTACTAAACCCCTTCGAAATTATGATTAGTATTAGCATAATGTAGTTATGGATACTAGACCTGATGTTCAGGCTCTGCAGGATAAAAAGCTTCAAGCTGTTGAATTTGAGTTGTAACAATGCTGCTCTTTGACTTTGATTGTTCTCTTTCTTTGCTAACAGCAGCCAATCTGGATTCCTCAGTGCCGCTTGTGAAAATAATAGACCTACACTAGGCAGATTTGTAACATTGTTCTTCATATGTTTGTCTTCAATCTCAAGAAAAAAAAAAAGGAACCCGGGTTGAAGTCAAGGATCCTACCTGTACTGGTTACCCACATCAGGACCTTGCCCAAAGACTTGCCTGGAATCATGGCTAGACCAGAAGACCTCCAATAGTTGTCTGAAACCAAGTACTCGGGGGTCATACTCGACCTAAAAGAAATTAAATTTAGTACATTGAACAAGTTGAATAGGAGATAAATGAAACATTCAAAAATTTTAAATGTAAATGTCAAGATAAGAAAATTTAAAAATGCCACTCAACCTATAATCCATTTTACTTGAAGCAATCAGGAACAAACCACAGATAAACATTTAATCACTCCAAACAAGGGACAGGAAAGCTCATTCAGAACCTAAAACAGTTTCAGGCAAGACTAGAATGTCAACCAAATGGAAACTGTAAAACAAAATTACATCAACCACTATCCGCAAAACTCAAAGAATTAGAGTTCAAAAGTATATGTAGCAGCAAGTAAAAGCTATAAGAAAAAATCCTCCAAAAAGGCACAAAACGTTATCATATCTAGTACACGCAATGACATGTTACTGTAACCCTTCCATATACATTGCAGTTATACAAGACAAAGACAAAAAGGTCTGCAACTACAAATTAGAAAGGGACTAATCAGTCATCGAGATATTAATTAGGTTTAGCACGTCAGCTTATGTTAACTCAGCTAACAATAATGAGTAAGATATGTCTTAGCTGACTCTTCTATCACATTGTTTGGATTAGATAACCACTGATTAGAGAACTGTTTGCTCATTTCCCACCTCAGCTAATGTCACTATCATCTCATAGGAAGTGCAATCCAAGCTGTTAGCAATTTGTCCCTCATATACATCATTGCAACTGAATTTTGATCAAACTTGCTCCTGGATTCTGCATACTCTAGTTTATTTTATAACCACAAAAAGTTCATACTCCCTATAACCTAGTCTTTCTTCAAAGATAGTCGTTGGTAATCATACACAATAACTTCCATATTCCACTTTATAACTAGAGATGCTTCCACAATACTTTTTTCTACCGAAAATTAACTACTACTAGTATTTATGTACATAACGAAGATACAAGGCACTGGTTGGGTCTACCCGAAAACCTAATTGTAACTGTCAATTTTTCTTCTCACAATGGAGTCAACATAGGTAAAAATGTTCCAACAAAGGCTTTTAAAATAAAAGCTGGCGAACACATTACATTAGAGTGATTTCAATTACAGGCGATTAAGGCACAAGTGTGATGAGGCAATCAATTTCAGTTCTTAGTCAACATAAGGAAGGAGATCAAACAAATACCTGTACAGATTCAGCGTGGTCGCCCAAATTTCTGTACTCAGGATTGGCTTTTGAACCACCAGAATAACCGA